GATGCAGGTGAAGGCGAGCGGGGGGATTAGAGGGTGGGACGACTGTCGGCGGATGTTGGAGTGTGGGGCCACTAGGATCGGGACGAGCTCGGGCGTGTGGATTATGCGGGAGCTGAGGGAGAGGGAAAAGGACGCGGAGAAAGGGGGGAGGGAGGGAGGCGGGAAGAGGCCGGGGGTTACGCGGTTGTATACTGATGAGGAGGTGAGCGGGTATTGAGACGGGGGGAGGGGTTGTGCATGAGCGGGCCTTTTTTGGTTGCCTCTTCTGGTGCATTTCACCAAGTCTACCGTCTTTGATGGATCCTTACTTTTCTGGTTGGAGGCTGCAGCAAGGCAACCAGATAGAGACGCGAGACCAACAGCAGGGAAAACAAATCAGTTTTTAGTTTAGAAGCATGATGCAGCCGGTAGACCATATAGAATGATGAGGCGGCGCAGAGCTGACCTCGATCGCATCCTCACTGTCGTCTGCCAGCTTCCGGTGGAGTGGCTGTAAAGGGGGTTCGCACACAGAGGAATGAAGACATTGGCAATGGAGGCGCTTGTGGCGGCGCATTGGCAGATGCATAGCGATAGCAGGCGCTAATGGATGCGTTCGGATTCAATTGTTCAGCTTTCGGTTGTCTTGCTTTGAAACGCTTCCAGCGCCATCTCGCAACCCCTAAAGAATCCGGCTGTGCCAGTGATACGCCGACAATATCCCCTTGTACATGATGCCCCCCAGTGCTTGTGACCCTAACTACGCGCAGCTGTCTTTGAAGGTTGATCTTCCATCTCTTCTGCCTTTCCCCTCGCTCCTCTACATCGAGCGCATCGGTATCAGCAAATCAACTAAATGCTGCTGATGCCCACCAAAACCCTCCCAGCAGCTCCCTCAGCCCACCCAAGTACTCCCAGCAACTGCAGCCGACTTCTCAAACGTCTCCCTCAACCCCTCCCTCTTAAACGCCAACAACTTCTCCTCCGCCTCCTTCGCCTCCTCCGCCCAATCCGGCGCCTCGCCACCCTCCGCACCCCTCTGGCCCACCGACCAGAACCCGGACCAGCTCCCACCTTGCTTCCCAGCGCCCGCCCTAGCACCACCGTCACTTCCCCCCTCCTCCTTCGCAAGCCTCTCAAGCATCAGCACCATATTACTAAGCCCCGTCTCCAGACACTCCGCACACCTCGCCTTCTCCTGTGGCGCCACAACCGCCTTACTCCTAACCCCCCTCTCCGCGGCCTCGACCGCCTCGCGCGTCCATCTCAGCCCGGCTTCCCGCTGCCCTGGGGAGGTCGCGAATAAGATCTCGCCGATATACGTCATGAGCCCGGCCTCGTCGCAGCTGGTCCCGGGGGCCCGGGCTAGCGGCTCGTTTCCCGAGGGTGGCGGATCGGGGTAGCGGGTGGGACGGAGGAAGGAGAGGAGGGAGGATGCGAGGGCCATGAGGCCTGCGTCTGAGAGTGCGGCGTCGGAGGAGGAGGCGCGGGAGGGAGTTGCGGTAGGAGGGGCGAGGGGCGCGGAACGGTAGGCGCGGAGTACGGATAGGAAGATTGGGAGGGCCTTGTCGACGGCGCCGGTGCGGGCGTGGTGGAGCGCTAGCTGTGTGGTTGCGTGCGCGAGGTTCGGGGTTATAGGGGCTGGGGAGCCGGAGTCTGTGGATTTCAGCACGCCGGTGCTGGCGTCGATGATGGTTTGTGAAGGTGCTGGGACGGCGGAACTGGCGATGTCGATGCCCCAGCGGTACATCTCGGCCGCGGTGTCGTGCAAGCCTTTGTAGTCTAGCCAGTCGCCGTAAGCGAGCGCGGCGTCGACGCGTTGCCGGGTCGAGAAGCCCTTCGAGGTGAGGATCTTGACGTAATAGCTCTCCGGTCCTTCCCACGCTGGTTCGCAGTTCTCTTCCAGCGGCGCCGTGAGAGCTCCCGGTGGACACGGCCGGGGGTTAGGATTGCTGGGCCCAATCACCACGTTGGCGGGGAAGGCGCGGTTGCGGGTCTTGTCGCGGACCCAGGTGTCAAGGTGCTCGGCGCATCTCGCCAGATGCATCAACGTCTCGAAGTAGCCTCGTCTCCACGGCTCGCTTTTGGCGGTGAGGTCGTATCCGGCCTTGCCGGCTCCAGGCACCAAGATGCCGCCTTCCTCCTGCTCGACGAGGCCCTTGCCATCGCGCTTGGGATCCTCGAGCCGCCGTAAGACGTGCCGGAACATGTTCGCCGTGCTCGCCCAGTCCGTGATTCCCGTGCCGTTGAACTCCGGGTCCTCCTGGGCTCGCGCGCTGCGGTACGTCCGGGCCGCCATGAAGCTCCAGTCCGGCGGGCTGGGAAACTGCCGCTGCAGCTTCTCGTCGTGGACACCGATTGCAATGATGCCGACGAGGACGAGGACGGTAAATATGCCGGCGCCGATCTTGATGCCCCGCTTCAGCTCATCGATGAGGTAACGCTTGCGTTCGGTGGTGAGAAGCCGAGCGAGCTGGAGGCGGTAGACGTTGTTGCGAGCTGGGAGATGTCGGGGAGAGTTCAGGAAGGGGACCTGAGGTCGGAGAGCGGGTTGTGATATGAGGAGGAGCTGGGAGTTCTGGGTGAAAAGCCTGGGCTTCGGTGGCTGCAGCTGGATGTTCGGAGGTCGGAGAGGGCGCAGAAGCGGACTTATCCGTCGGACAGAGGCTCTCGGTATATACATGGCGATGAATTGGAGGGGATGAGGGGGGATGAGGGGAGGATTCGAGAGTATTGATGGTGATGGGGTCGAGATAGGAGCATCTCCGCAAGATGCAAGCTCGGCGGTGGCGTCCTTACTAGGCGGTGACCGGGGGCGGGGGCAGAATTGCCGGCGCAAAGAAAGTTCGAAACTGAATTTCGCAACTCAACGTCACAAATCTCCGAGATTCGAGATTCGAAACTCGAGTAGGATGTCTCACAGCACAGAATTCGAGGCGCAAGGCGTACTTCGCGAGAAGAAGGAGAAGAAGAGCAAGGGCAAGGAGAGTCGAGAGGAGAGGCGCAAGCGTAAGGAAGAAAAGGAAGCAAAGCGCCAGCGCAAAGCAGAGAAAGAGGCCAAGAAGTCGAAGAAGAGAAAGCACGACGAGCTCGACGACGATGTTCCGGAGCAAAACACGAAGCCAGAAGCTCAGCCAGTGGAGCGATCGTCGAAGACATCCAGCACCGCAGCCCCAATTGCAGACACAGCAACCGAAGAGCGCAAGAAGTCGAAGCGGCGGAAGAAGAGCAAAGCCACCACTGGAGATGCAGACACCAACCCGGATGCAAACAAAGCAACGGACGCTTCCAACGGCGAGGTACAGCCAGAGGCTGGCGCAGAGGAGCCTGCAGCAGACACGACCGCCAGCGCAAAGTCTCAGCGCTTCATATGCTTCATAGGCGGGTCCCCCACACTCATCGGATCCACTCTATGACATTATCGCTAACACTCCCACTCCCCACAGGCAACCTCCCCTACACCGCCACCGTCGACTCCGTGACCGCCCACTTCTCCAAAGTGTCCCCGACCTCCGTCCGCCTCATGACCGACAAGGCAACCGGCAAGCCTAAAGGCTTCGCCTTCATCGAATTCGACGCCTACGACCGCATGAAGACGTGTCTGAAGCTATACCACCACTCCTCGTTCGACGACGGCATCGCCCAAGCCCGTAAGATCAATGTCGAGCTTACCGCCGGCGGCGGCGGGAAGAGCGAGGCGCGCAAGGAGAAGTTGCAGGTTAAGAACGAGCGGCTGAGCGAGCAGCGCAAGAGAAGGATGCTGGAAGAGGAGAAGCAGAAGGCGAGGAGGGAGAAGAAGGGGAGGGGTAAGGGGCAGGCTGATGGGCCCGAGGGGGCGGCTGGCAAAGAGAAGGAAGCCGCGCAGGTGCATTCAACTCATGAGGAGCCGAGGCCGAAGCACGACAGTCATGGTATCCATCCGAGCAGGCTGGCGCGGATGATGTGAACGCCGTGACCGTTTTGACGGCTATAGGGCTACGGGTCCAGCGATTAGTGAACGTCGCAACCGGACATGCCTACTCGGCCAAGGTGTTGTCTCAACTCTGTCCGCTCGGGTTGAGGGTCTGCAGACAAGCCGGATCATTGGAGCGTCGGCTTAACTGCCCGAGTTTAGCTTGGGCCTCGGATGATTGAGACGCTAGAAGCAACAATGCCGACCTTAGAGAACCCTATACTGGTATCGAGTTGTCCGGGAGAGTCGCGGTGTTGTTTGGATAGCCATCAGATGTACGCCAAATGTGCGTCGGCGGAGCGCAGCATGCTTCAAGTGACTGAAGCTCCGACAGTACGGACTCTGTACCTTACGAAGTGTGGAGTCCAGATCCGTGTGTTCACGGATTGTCAAGCATATATGTAATAAACCTATATTGTTTCTCCTGCCGGTCAGCCGTTTTCCTGCCGTGGCGGTTGAATCCTCATAGCAGTCCAGACATCGTAGCAAACACTATTAAGACCAAACTATATCTGTGTGATACGATCATAGGACATGCCGATGAAGTACAAACATATCCAAAACTTCTAGACTCCTACCTCGCCAGCACACCCTGCCCGCTCCGGCCATGAATTCAGGACCCCATCCAGGCGGCCCGCGCCACGTCCAGTCCTCACAGCGTCACCGAAATCAGGTGACATACTTGCGAGGACTTCGCCGCGTGGAGAACTGCACAGATCATGGGAGAGCTTTACCGTCGCTGGGAAACTGTTCGTGGGTAGGACGATGGGTCATTGTTGTACAAACTCCTCCGCGCTGCCTGGACAGCGTTCCGGAACATGTTCGTTCTCGATGATGCGGACATCAGAGGAGGATGGGAGCGTCGCTGTTCCATTGCGGACGGGATGTGCGAAACTTAGATGGCTGGTTGGCTTCCAAGTTGGAGGCACGAAAGGGTTAGTAGCGGAGTAGAGCTGTGCTGACGGTTGGGGGTAGTTGGATTTATCGACAAAAGGCGTCTCCAAAGGGTAGGGATGAGTGGTCGGACTTGATGAGTGTAGTTCAGAGCATGATTACTGGTCGAGATGGCGAGAAGTTTCGAAGAATAGTACAGTATTAGTAGGTTGATTACATATAAGGCCGATTCGGCACAACCAACAAAAGAAATTCGTACGACTCGCTCGACCGACTGGACATTATACATGTGACGTCAACTCCGTTACAGGACCCAAACTAATTACCACAATGCGCCGCCTTTTGCACAGAAAATTAAAATTTGTCCAGTTCTTCAGTCATCCGTTAGAGAGGGCTTATGGTGGTCTGAAGCGATAGCACCCTAAACCGACAGAGCACCCCTTTACGAATAGTCATCCTTAACGCGGCGCTGGCTCTCGCCATCGATGAAGCTGCCGCGCGACCTAGTACTTCGCTTTCGGCCAAGGAAGCCACCACCGCTCTTCGACGAGTATTTATCCTTGCCTACTCGACCAGACAAGCAGAAGAGGATCGTGGAGAGGAAGTAGCAAGCCACCGCAGCCCAGGTGAATCCGTATGCGTACCTGCCGAGCTGGGCGTCCTGCCCGTTACTTCGGAAGCGGTTGCGTCCGAGGACCGTCCATGCACTGCGAATATATGTCAGCATGCGGTTTACCGGAGGGCGAGGAGTGTGGAATTCTTACGTCATGAGTGCCGCGGCGGTGGCTTGGAACAAGCAAGCGAGAATCGTATTCAGGCCAGAGATGTACCCACCGAGCCGGCTGAAGAGCGCGAGTAGTCCGGTGAGCAAGGCGCAAGAGGCGAAGAACAGTGCGATGAGGTAGAACGCGAACATGCAGCGGGAGAGGTAGAAGTATTCATTTGTGCTATTGAATCGTCAGATCAGGATCGCAGTCAGCTTTGATATGCGCCTTACCCGGTGAACCCCGGAGGAACGCCCTCGGTCGTGCCGAAGTTCCGTGGTGGATCAAACGGCAGCGCAGGGACGACTGCGCCGCAGTTGCCATTGCGCCCGTCTACAACACCACAGATGGCCCAGAACGTCCATCGCGATGGGTTGCGCGGCGCAGGAGTGATTCCGTTGGTGGATACTTGGAGGAAGTATACTAGGTTGACGGGAAAGGCTTGGATGCCGCCGGAAAGCACGACGAGGAATTGGAGGAGGAGACCGCCGGCGAGGAGGATGAGGGAGATGAGACTGAGGATGGGTCCTGTTGCTGTCAGTGCGAGGCTTGAGGGTTGTTGGGTGAATGTGCTCACGAGCAGCAGCCATTTCGTTGGATTAGGGCTGAGGTATAATGATCGTTGCTGTAGCTAGCCGTCAGCACCTACTCCAGCGTGTTTGACATTCTGTCCAATAGACACCGTACCTTGACTTAAAGATGAGACGTAGGGTGTAGGAGAAGGAGGGTTGTCGCGAGTTAAGAATGGGATGGGACGGGTTGACGATGTTCGGGTGGAGAGTGACGTATGGCAAGGCCTAGAAAGCTTCCAAGCTTGGTGACTTTTGGCGAACGTCATGCGGCAGGGGGGTTGTGAGACTTTTCCGCGGGCACATAAAGTGCAGCACACCAGTGTAAGCTGTTGTTGATTCACATCATTCCCAGCAGTTCAATACCTCACTGCAGAAGTGAGCGCGTCCATCGCATTCACCAATTCGCGATGGAAACAGCCATCTTTGTGCACAGCATTTGCGATGCAGACTCGTGGACCGATGATGATGCATGCGCCTTTGCAGGGGCCCCCGGTCCATCAACGGCTGCGGCCGAGAGATGGCAAGCCACCAATCCTGATTCGGACGTGCTCACAGCTTGTGACGTCCGAAACGGTGCTGCTCCGACTTCGCGGGCCGTTTTGGTGCTTCTGTGCTGCCCAGGTGATCCTCCCCAGAACATGAATTTCGGAGGCTGAAGTTTCATGAGGATGATCCCCAGAGCAAAAAGATTAGAAGATCGGTCGGGAGAGCTGCTGCTTTATCACGCAGACGCTTGCATGACTCTATCCTCGTAGCCCACGGGAGAGGAAGTTTCGAGCATCCTTCCTGACATCTCTCCATCGTTCAATATTACCAGACGAGCACGAAAGAAGACGTGCAATGCTCGTCGAATGCAAGAGTGAGTGTGCTACAGGCGTTGACGTCTTATGAAAGGAAACAAAGTGGTTCGACTTATCCGATCATATTCCGACTTCGTTCGTTGTAGGTAAGGTATCTCGCACTCGCGAAAAGATAAAACCGATCGGCCTGATATTGCAGCGCTACCCTCTATACGCTTATGCTGCCTCTTTTCCGAGCCTTACTCAAGAGTTATCTCGATGTGGTATTCTCGCAACTGCGTGGCTGTCATCTTTGCGGCACAGTTCGTTGACGGCGTCTAATTTAAGGTGGCTGCGCCGCATCCTTTAACCTTCTACGAAATGCTGCCGGATCTCTATCTCCCTTCCTAGCATTACTTTACTGACTGCTACATCTCTCTGATGTCGCCCAACTGACCCTCGACTGTGATTCCGAGCAACGGTTGAAATATTTCAGCATTCAGGTACCGATGCAACATGTTTTCCGCGGCAATGGACCCGAAACAGCCGCTTCCGGGATGAGAAGCAGGTATTCATCATAGTCCACCACATCATCGCCGTGTCTCCTTCCGCTTCTTCCTGTGCGCCTCAACGTTCTTCGCCTTGGCGCTTTGTATTATCCTTTACGGGGTCTACGTTTTCCCACGTCTCAGCTCTGCTCGTCCCCGCAACAGTGCTATTAAGAACCCAACCCACAGCCTCAACAACACCATTGCCCCCTCATGGCCCCCCGGCGCTGGTTTCGACCTCACCCCTACGTACGGCACCGCAACCATCCGCCTCTTCCCCAACACCACCATCCATATCGGTCCTATCCCCGGCTCCACAGAGTACAACAACACAATGCACAAGCTGTCGCTCAAGAGCTCCAAACACACGGCGCCGCCGTACAACTAGTGGTACGATCCTCCTGGTGGCATGTTCGCAGGTTATTACGATATCCCTCGCGAGTTGAAGCGTCGGCTGCGCAAGCGGCTGGGTCTGCCGGCTACCCCTGAAGTTGGGACGCTGGCGGGGATGTTCACGGTGTTGAGAGAGGATGTAGAAATAAAGCTGAGAAGGGGGATTGGGGAAGTAGTAGTGACGACTGCGAATATCGTTGCGTTGTACGATGAGGTGGAATATCCTTGTCTGACGCACTTTCCAGCATGGTGGAGATAGGAGCTGAAGTGTACCAGGACCTCTACGACGCGGCAGAGTTCACAGGCCTCACCCTCCTAACCAACAAGCGATTCGCCCGCCAACCCCGCCACAGGGACGCCGCGATCGTGGGCTACGGCCTCGGCGTCTGCAAGTCTTCCACCTGCCCCCGAGAATGCGTGGCCGAGGAGCACGGGATGCCGGAGCGCAGCGCCCTCTCTATCCTCTTCACCCGCGCCGTGCTATCCATCGAGTGTAGCGGCAGAAGGAAAATCGCGGAAACGCACATCCCGTACTGGCAGCAGCATCCCAGCAACTTCCATGACGATCTCGGGCTCGAGGCGTATGAGAGGCTGACCTGGGGTCCGGACTCTAGGAGACTGTTTTGGGCGAGGGTCAGGTACGCGGTTGATGAGGCGGCTGTGTCACGCTGTTACTCGCACAACGTGACTGACGTCCTGTTGTTTGGGGAGGCGGCGGATAACGAGATGTTAAAGAAGGTGGCGCTTGAGGCTGCGATGGCGAGGCGAGGGGAGCAGGTAGAGGAGCCGAGGTTCTGGTTGAAAGAGGGTGATGAGAGGTTGTTTGTTGCTAGTATGGGTGCGGCGGAGATGGCCGTGAGAATTTTGGCGGAACACGCGCCTTGTGAGGGTTGATACTGGGCTCGTATTTACTTCCTATCCGTCTCCGCATTTCTATATACATGCTCTTGCAAGAGCAATCAGCGCTTCAAAAAGGCTGCCAGCAAACACAACCGGACCCCTAGTTGATAACCTCATAGTGTCCCATCTTCCTCGGCGGTACGTGGCGGAAGAACATAGTATCAATCTCATTGAAAGTACGTCCCTTCAATTCCGGCACATAGATGTAACTTCCAAAAGTCGCAATGGCTGCCAGGCCGCCAAATATGAAGCCAACCTTGCCTTTCAGGTTACCCTCGTCTGGGTTCACCATGTACGGAATGGCGAAGTTCATGGCGATGCCGAAGACTGCCTGTGTGGCTGTCGCCAAGGCCGTTGTATTCGCTCGGAGACTCGTGCTAGAGGTTTCGCCTAGCAGCACAAAGGCCATTGCGCCGATTGTCAGGAAATAGACGAAGGCGTATATGACGGTGCAGGAGGCTTGGACCCATTTGGCAGCGCCGGTGGGGACGACATCCATGATACCGATTACGAGAAGAAGAACCGTGAGGGCGCCCATGCCACCAACGAAGATCTTGCGACGGCCGTATGAGTTGACGACAAACCAACTGCAAAAGTTGCCTAGCACGCCACAAGCAGTCACGCCAACCCCTAGGTCGAACGAACGAGCGGTATCCAGTCCTGCAAGCTGAAAGAAATAGGTCGAGTAGCCGAGCACAAAGATTATGCCGACGAGATGTTGACAGGCAAAAACGCCCACGGAGATGCCAGTACGGAGAAGGTTGGTTCCGCGGAAGCAATCAACGAGGCTCGCTTTCTTCTGTTGTAACTCTTCTTCAATAGTGGTTTGGAGTGCGGCCAGCTTGGCGGAGACGTCAAAGTCCTTTCCCCACAATCTCTGGAGAGACCGAAGCGCTTCTTCGTCCTTGTTCTTCCGGACAAGGTACCACGGCGTTTCCGGAACGAAGGGCAGGCCGGCCAGGAGGAAGGCGGAGAAGAAAAGCTGGATCGCAAACGGTCCGGCGTATGCCCAGCGATCGTCACGGGCGCCGAACCCCTTGATGACGCCGTTGGAAAGGAGTTGACCGACAGCGATACCCAGATTGATGCCTGCAGTTGAGATGCCACGAAGCACAACGGGCGTAATCTCGCTACAGGCCAACGGGCCGAGTGTGAGGTAAAAGCCAAGCCCGAGACCGAGGATGAATTTCGAAGCGACGAAAGCGCCGCGACTCGTAGAGAAGATCTCACCAACAATACCGCCAGTACAGACAATGATTGCCGCAAGCAGAGATGCCTTCCGCCCGATTCGATCGGCAATCCAGCTGCAGAGGAAACCACCAAAGAACTGGCCGACGGCACTGACGATGTTAAAGGCGATCAACCAGCTGGCAGGGATGACTGGCTCGCCATCAAGCATGTAACCAAAGTCGCGTCGAAAGGCAGGAACCGAGATCATGGCGCCATTGACTTGGGCATCAAAACCCCTATTCCAGCTGTCAGCGTCTGTTCTATGTATTTGTGCGGATGGCGACGTACCAGCCGACCGCACACATAGCCCAGTAAAAAGACCACCCTATTAGAGCTTTGTGGTGTTTGAAAACGTAGCGCAGTGTGAGCTGATGCTCTTGCTCGTTGTCGATTGTTGCCCCAAATGTCTCCTTGACATGGCTAGCAGAGGCGACTGAGGCGCCTCTCTTCTCTTGATATTCAGCGGCTGTGGCCTTGTCCATTGCTACCGGATAGGCGGTGTGCTACTTCTAGATAGTAAGAGTGTAACTGTCCAGCCGTACTAGCGATTCTGTTCAACGTGGAGCGGATACCCATGGGCATCACGACGTTTTTATCCATGAATGATACCATGCAGCCGGTACTTGCACCCTGCTGCTGGGGAGCACATTGTACGCGATACTCCGCTAGCTGGCCTTCCCCGGATTTTCATTTCTGGGGTACTTGTCGTGCTAGATCGCATCTGAACTGCTCAAACAGAAGCGGACAACCAAACGCGATGGTCCGCACCGGGTGGCGTGGATTGCTGGCTTCCCATGTCTGCAAGCGAAAGAGCTTGAGCGACATTCCGCGATGAGGGGTTTGGACCACCGTCGCGGAGTGTCGCTTGTACAGCTTAGCAGCCGCGGAACGTCGCTCATCTAATGACTGACTCCATCCATCAATTCTGGATATCTCCACAACGTAATGCATGCAACACTTCGCGGAGCCCTGCATTCCTGTACCGAGCGCGCTTCATCCTCGATTCGACCACCATTGAGCCGTCATTGAGTCTCATGGCCTCTGTGCAAGGCCTGCTCATAGACGGCATTGAGCCAACCTCGCTATCAGCCTCGGATGCTTCCCCAGGGCAGCAACCTCGGAGAAAGCGGCCAGCTCCACGAGGCACGGCGTCTTATCCTCGCAAAAGAGCCGTTACCGCTTGTCAAGTTTGTCGGGCCCGGAGGACCAAGTGCGACAACCGGAAGCCGTCATGTTCTTTCTGTGCAAAAGTCGGAGCACAATGCATCCAATCGCCTGTGGATCTCTCGAGCTTTGATCCGGCCAGTCTGCGGATTCTCGAGCGCTTGGATGAGCTCGAGGAAGTGGTGCGCTCTAGCAGCTCGAGTGGAGCAAGCCAGCTTCCACAGCACGATGACTATGTGCCAGGAACCACGCCTCTTGGATCTCACACGGATGTTGACCGCTCGAAATTCCGGCCGCAAACGATAGAGAATATCCTCGAGTGGCCATGCTTGCAGCTGAATAGCATTCAGGACCAGAGTCTTGCCTTCCAACTTCGTTGGAGACATGCCGAGTCCGTAACTGTACAGGCGTCCACTTCGCCAGCATACCTCGCAGACGAGCTTGAGCCGCAGCATACCAAGGTTCTTCTCGACAACTTCTTCAATCATGTTCACATCAAGAATCCTGTCCTGGACGAAGTGCAGACTCGTCGGATCGTCACTCGACTATGCCTTCATGGTGTTGACTGGTCCCCTGAATCGTGCATCGCGTTGTTGGTCTGCGCGCTCGGCGCGATCGCGACTCCGTTTGATAGTAGTCAGGTTGTTACTCAAGATTCAGAGGCATACGCTACCGCAAAATCATTCTACAGTGCGGCACGGAAGCGGCTTGGTGTAGTGCTAGGCACATCTGGTGTGCTTGAAGCGCAATGCCTCTTCCTTGCGGGGGCGTACATGATGTGCATCTTCGAGCGGGTCAAAGCCTGGAGATTCTTCATGCAGTCGCTTGCGTGCTGTCAGGAATTCGACTTCCTGCACCGGTCTCGAGTAGGATCGGACGGCATTCATGACAATATACATGCTTACGGAATGCAAGATTACCAGAGCCAACAAGCCTCAACTGCGGAACAAGCCATTTACTGGTCCGCGTGGAAATCCGAACGTGAGCTTCGGCCAGATCTCCAAGCGCCAGACTTCCGTCTTCCGAAGACTGAGGTTGCTATATATCCCCCATTCTTTCCCACGCCGCCCGCACCCAGCGAGGATCTACAAAGCGGTTTGAGCGACGAATACAAGCAGCGGGAACGCGTCTCATGGTATTTCTACCTGTCGGAAATATCGTTACGGCGCCTTTCGTCGCGCATCGCGGATGAGATCCTTGCGTTCCAGCCTCAATATGACGAGACTCTCCTCGAAGGACTTGCGAAAGCCACATCAGAACACGAGGCGCAAGCCGACGAATGGGTGATGGCTCTACCTGAAACTATGACATTGCAATCTTCTCCAAACGAGGATGATGTTTGCAAGTTCGTCCTCCGTGGACATCTGATCAATCTCTATGAGACAATCTACTGGCCTTTTGTCGATGCAGTAATCAATTGCCCTCCATGTGGCAGCGGCATTCACTGGAGCCCTCTTCTTCGAAATCTGGCCCATAAAGGGCTCCAGAAGCATATTGAGAGGCTACAGGTCAATCGGCCGGGCTTCCGGCACAGGCATCACGGAACTCCGAGTATGATTTATACCTGCACCAGGAGTGCGATGGTGCTGGTTGCAGCAGCATTAGTAGCCAAGGACAACACAGAGCAAGGACTATCACTGCCACTCGAGATGCCGCCTGATTGGCAGAACGCTGTGGTCGCTGCGATGGAGCTGAACAGATACTGGGAGAATGAGTCACTCGAAAGTAGATCGATGCTACATATGCTTGAAGTATTGTGGCAGAGTGTCAGATAGATCGAGGTTAAGGCTAAGGAACGGTACAGAAGATACTCCTTGGTTTTCTACCGTTCACGGCTGTCGGTCTCTTTCCAGCAAACGAGCTGGTTCGGGTACGCCTGTCGGTTTTTACGAAGGTGCTTGCAACGAAGTATCAATCCAGTCTCCTCGCTCCGGGACTCGAAGTGAACCGAGGAAGAACAGTTAATCACACTCTACCATTCTCAATCACGCGAAGCAAGGGACCGGAATGCCGTACTGTAGACCTGAATCAGCTGTCGTTCCACAGAGGATGGGCAGCGCCATTACTCACGTTAAGCGGGTCGTTAAACCTCAACTTCTTATCCAACCCACTGATTTCTCTCACCTCCTCCTCACCAAGGTCGAAGCTCACATTGTCCAGATTCTGCTTCAGCCGGTCCTGGCTCGCACTTTTCGGTATAACAGCCAGCCCCCTCTGCGTTGCCCACCGGAGCAGCACCTGCGCTGGCGTCTTTCCATGCTTCTCCGCCACTTTCTTAATCGTAGGGTGGTCAAAGAGCAGCGGCGTGTTATTTCCGAGCTCCATGCCCAGGTCCCGGAACGACTGGGGGCCAAACGACGAGTACGCCGTGACGGCGATGCCTTCGGCCTTGCACAGGTCTAGCAGGTTCTGTTGCACCAGGTACGGATGATGCTCGATTTGCAGCGTGGCCGGCCGGATTCGCGCGTACCGGAGCAGATCCAGCATCAGGGCGCCGCCATAATTGCTCACGCCAATGCTCCGCGTCAAACCCTGGTCGACTAAGTCTTCCATGGCGTGGTAGGTGCTCTCGAGGGTGGCCTTCCCGGGCGTTACTTTATCATCTTCGTCTGACCATCCGGGAGGATAGCGCACTGAGGGGTCGACGTATTTGAGCGATATGGGGAAGTGGATTACGTAGAGGTCGAAGTAGTCGAGGCCCCAGTCTTCGAGCTGCTTCTTGCAGATTGGCGCCACGCGCTCCGGGTCGTGGAAGGAGTTCCACAGCTTCGACACGATGAACAAATCAGAGCGTGTGCACAGGCCGTCTTTGATGGCGCGGCGGACGCCTTCGCCGGCTTCTTTTTCATTGCCGTAGTCTGTGGAGGTACGAAATGTCAGGAATGGGGGTCGGAGGAGGACTGAGTAGCGGGGAAAGATGGATTGGAGGAAGGATACGGGCGCGTATCTGGATTCTACGTACCGCAAGCACCATCGAAAAGCCTGTAGCCGACTTTGATAGCATTGTAGACGATGTCCGCGCAGTTGGCGTTATCCACCTTCCACAGGCCAAAGCCGACTTGAGGCATCTCGTGCCCACTGTTGAGCTTGATGGTGGGGCTGCTCATCGTGAAGGTCTTCCCAGCAGCAGTGGTGTCTAAGCGGATGCTGAACTTCGACAGTGAGGGTAGAGGAGGATTGGGATGCTTTCTGGTGGAGAAAGACGCAAGATCAGGTTGTCATCGTCTAATTCTAGTTATTCGAAAAAGGTTGATGTAGCTATGACGTAAGTTATCCTCCAGCAACGAACTTTCCCCGGATTGTGGAGCTGTGGAGCTGTGGATTTTAGCCGTTGTCCAAGGGCCGGCAAAAATGAACGCGGCGGGTTGTTATCAGCCGAAAACCCGCCGCGTTCATTTTTGCCGGCCCTTGGTCAGCCGCATGCGAGGATCCGCGCAACGCAGGACTCCTGAGCGACACTCCGCGAGTGGGAGATCAGGGACTTCGGCCCACACTCCGCGCCTCCAAGCCCGCGCTGGCAGATCTGGCGCGGAGAGTTGCTCATCGCTGCAGACTCCACATGTACACATCTCAATTTCGAATCGGTAAGATTGCGGGTACGAGCACTGGGGACCGCTGTATTGTCCTCCCTCTTCCGAAGCTAGAAGGACCCCAGACTCGGCCGCAGTCAGTGTGAAAGTGCCGCATCGCGGAGTATCGGAGCAAACGCCGATCAGAGGCTGTACAGACATAGACGACTATAAGTGGTCCTTAGGGTAGGTTGCCTCGGTGTTTCTACACTCACTGCTCTATCTTGTGTCGTTTGCCTATAATTTATTCACGAAAGCACACTTACTGCCTTCCATTCAGCTTGTGTATCCCGTAGATATACCACCTATCCGTTGATTCCATCAAGAGAATGGCGCCTCATGCGGAGCCTCAGTTTCGACTAAATGATGTGATGGGAACCAACAACAGCTTGACTAAGAAGGAGGCTGTAACCAGCACCACTGCTACTGAAACTTCCGAACCACGTCTCCGTACACCGAATCCATCATGCACGCTTCTTCGTGTGGCAGGCACATCGATAGTGGACCCGTCCGGAACACCTGTGATACTTAAGGGAGCGGGCCTCGGCGGCCACCTCAACATGGAGAATTTTATCACTGGCTACCCAGGTCACGAGCATGAACATCGTGCCGCGATGGCCTCCGTACTCGGCCCTCAGAAAGCTCAGTTCTTCTTCGATCGATTTCTTCATCACTTCTTCACCGAGTCTGACGCTGAGTTTTTCGCTTCATTGGGCCTGAACTGTATCCGCGTCCCCTTCAACTACCGCCACTTCCTCGATGACCAGCAACCCGGTGTGATCAAGCAATCCGGCTTTGATCTGCTTGACCGCATCGTCGGTATCTGTGGTAAATACAACCTTTACGTCATTCTCGACCTCCACGCCGTTCCTGGCGGACAGAACCAGGACTGGCACTCCGACAGCGGCCTATCCCGTGCGTTGTTTTGGGACTTCCGTGTCTTCCAGGATCAGGTAGTCGATCTCTGGGTCGAGATAGCAAACCACTACGCCGGTAACCCCGTCATTGCTGGCTACAACCCGCTCAACGAGCCCGCGGACCCAGAGCACGTCCGGCTGATAGCATGGTACGAGCGTGCTGAGAAGGCCATTCGTGCAGTGGACGCCGACCATATCCTTTTCATCGACGGCAACACATATGCTATGGACTTCTCACACTTTAACACCGTGCTTCCGAATACTGTATACGCATGTCATGACTACGCAATGCTGGGGTTTCCCATCCCGGGCCAAGCGCCCTATTCAGGCACGCAAGAGCAGAAAGCGAAGCTGAGGCGGCAGTTTGAGCGCAAAGTCAAGTTTATGCGCGAAAAGGGCGTGCCGATATGGAACGGAGAATTCGGGCCTGTATATGCCGATCCCAGAGCCGACAAGGATGCCGAGGTCACAGATCGCTCGAGGTTAGGCGTGTTAGAGGAACAGCTGAAAATCTATGCGGACAGCGATGTAAGCTGGAGTATCTGGCTCTATAAAGACATAGGATACCAGGGCATGGTATACCTTGACCCAGAGTCAGCGTACATGAAGCTTACCGCACCTTTCGTGGCGAAGAAGCAGAAGCTCGGTCTCGACTTCTGGGGCTGTATGGATAAAGAGGGAGTGAAAGATGTATACGGCCCGTTTATTCAAGGACTGAAGGCAATGGTACCGGAGCACCTGCTAGACAAGAAGTATCCAAAAATTTGGACGTTTGATCGTCAGGTAGAGAGGGTGGTGAGAGAGTGCTTACTCAGCGAGTATATGGGGTGGGAATTTGCGGAGTTGTTTAAGGGGAAGACAGAAGAGGAGCTGGAGGAGTTGGCGAGGAGCTTCAGATTTGAAGCATGTGTTAAAAGGACTGGATTGAACGATGTCTTGAGAGAGGATGCAGAGGCTTCGGAAGAAAGGGTTATGAATAGAGGATAGGCCTAGAGATATCATCGTTGTCCTGCAGTTACGAATTATACCGAACCGCTAGCCTGCAATGGAGAAAATATTGGTGATAGTCAGGAGCCGCTTTTGATCATAAGAACCAGGAAACTCTTCACTGTCCGAGTTTGCGGACACTAAACTCACTTTCAAAGGAAGCGAAGCCTCCACTCGTCCAGACGGAAGGTCTCTCAGCTGTGATATGGCCCACAAATGCGTGATTGCGTTCGAGAGATATTGTACATCGCGAAGTCATATGACATCCGAAACAGGGCGGCTCGCTCTCCGCACCCGCAGTTGAGATCAAGCGAACAGCTGAGGCAGTTAATTACCTAGATAGTCTGTTACCAGAATTGACCTCCTTAGCATTGCTCTCGGTTGGTTAGCAACACCGCTTTATCTAGTCGCTATAGGGCTTACGGAGTTGAACTCTACTCGATTATACTAACACCGTGAGCTTTTCAAATATTACTGTAACCTTAAACTATAAACGGCTAGCTAGCTTCTATATCCAGTTAGCGGGTTACCCGACCGTCTATATCGTCTAAGGGCGTGCTGAACGAGTCGGACACTTGGACCCTCGATCGCTGGACGGTCGGGCGATTGATAACACTGGATTTACACGACAAGTTCAAGAGACATTGCTCCAGACAGACTCGTGAACAATAATGGAACTAGTTACGACGGATACGATCTAGTATATCATAGAGTGGAGTTTGAGAAAGCAAACTGTGCACATCCTTAGGCTTGGGTGGACATTCACTCCTGATCAAGCATAAGACGACCACCTATAGTGGCATCCTTTTCTCATCCTTCCTCTCCTCGGGAAGCGGCGTGTCGGCGAACAAGCCAAGTCCATGCTCCGGCGGCCATCTATCTCCAAACACGGATGCCTTCTCCACCAAGCCGCGGATATGCTGCGACTCTTCAGGGGTGAGCTCCACGTGCATCGCCGCGAAGTTCTCCTCGATGTACTTTTTGGTGATAGTTCTGTTGTTATCGTCAGCAACTTCATAACCGCGTAGCTGGAGACTAGGAGACAGCACTCACCCAGGGATTGGAAAGATATCATCCCCTTGACTCAGCAGCCACGCTAGTGCTGCCTGACCAACAGTGACGCCTTTCTTGGTCGCAAGTTCCTTGATGGCCCCGACAAGCTCCATATTCTTGGGAAAGTTCTCCCTCGAGAAACGCGGGTAGAAGCGGCGAATGTCACCCTCCTCGAAGTCGTCCGGCCCCTGGATACCCCCACTGAGCAGGCCTCGAGAGAAGGGAGAGTATGCGACGACGGCGACGCCAAGCTCACGGCAGGTTGCCAGAAAGTTATGTTCAGGGGACTCAATCTCCGTCGTGAAGGCGCTGTATTCCATCTGGACGCACGCAATCGGGTGCACGGCATGGGCGCGTCGCAGGGTTGCCGAGGAGACTTCTGACAAACCGAGATATCGAATCTTGCCTTGTCTAAGACCAATGTCAGCTCTTGCCTGCCAACGATTGATGAAACTGATATTCCCTTCGTGTGTGTGTGTGTGTCTCCTCTTAAGATGAGAAAGCGAGACTCACTCCTTCAACGTGACCATCTCCGCCACAATATGCTCAATAGGGGTCGATCCATCGAGCCGATGGGGGTACCAGAGGTCAATTGTCTCCACCCCGAGTCTTTTGAGGCTTTTCCCACAGGCAATGGGCACATATGCGGCGTCGCCGCGGAATTCAAAACCCGTGGGAAGTTGGATGGCGCCGAACTTTGTGGCAAGGAAGATATCATTGCGCTTCTCGGGATTCGAGGCAAGCCATTTGCCGATGATAACCTCAGCATCGCCCTACAAGGAAAACTCCAGATTAGCAATCTATCGTATAAAGCAATGTAGAGCAACTAAAGTCCTGGTCTTACATAGTAGTCACTGGTGTCCCAGAAAGTACATCCGAGTTCATACGCGCGATTAAGAAGGGCAAGACGCTCAGGATCAGGAATGGGAGCTGTCGTTCGCGAGCAGGGAAACCCCAACCCCATGGTACCGAAGCCAATCCGTGGCACCAGAGGTCCATTTCTACCCAATGGCCGTAGTACGGGCGAGGCGGATTCCATGTTGTTGGCAACGTGCGTGCAGAGCGGATGATAACCAAGGCGAGGCTCTTGTTCAACGGTGTAACGGAGCGTGTAGATGATAACTATTGAAGCCAACGGAGCGTTGGATATGTTGCTTATATACAACTCGCTCGTATGTGTCGGTCGAGGACGTATGGCTCGAAGTCCGCGCTGGCTCGGATTGAGCTCCGCAGCTAAAAGGCGGACTTTACAAGATGCAAAGTCCGCCAACGGCTAGAGGCAGCAGCGGTGGCATTTACGGACCCGGAAATGTACCTTGTCTTTCGGCTTCATTTCCGGGGATGAACCTTTTTGTCTCGTCTACTCCCATGTAACTGTTGTGACCTATTAGCACCATTCAGACGTGGAGCTTCTAGTCTACTTACACGCTCAAAAGGATCTCGGCAAACTCGTCTACATCCTCGCCTCTTCCATAGTCGAGAAAATTGCCGAATGAGTAGTTGTTTATCATGTAATGAGGCTTTTCTTTCCACATGCGATCAAACATGAACGAAGAATTCGCTTCCCACAGATGACGGGAAAGCGTCCAGCGGTGAACATAGGCCCACGGACCTGGGTCATCTGCTTTTCTGTCAGCTCAGAACCAGAACATAAAAAGGGAAGGCTGTAACCTGTGCACCCCGAATCGGTCATTGTTTCATAAAGCGTTATGACGGAGTATGCCATTACAATAGTTCTTCGCACACATTCGGCGAAAATCCACCGCTGACAGCCGCAAGGCTGGTAAGCAAGGATACCCTGAGCGATCGTGGCGAGCACTCACCTCCCACTCAATTCTTAGGGGCTGCTTTCTCACCACACCATTCTCGAACTCCGCCAATTCCCCCAAATGCCCACGCATCCGGCACAAGTCACCTAGCCATGTTTGCAGCAGCGGCATATCTTTCTCACCTTGTGCGCGCAGAATGATATCGCCATCAAACAGGCGGATTATCTGGTACAGGAAGAGCGTCTGGGCACGGGCGAGCTTCTCGGCCGGCGTTGGTACGACACGGCCGGCTTCGGTGTCGACGAGTTCCCGTATGCTGCTGTGCAGCACCCGCATAACCATAGCTGTGTTTGCTTCTGTGCGGTTCGTGTAGAGGACATTGGCGGTGAAGCACGACAGGATGCATTGTGGTGCATGGTCTCTGTAGAGGTAGCGGTGCAGGAAAGGCGTGGCGTTGCGTGTGGCGACGTCAGTCGTAAAACCCTTGATACGGGCTACAATGTAGTGTAGCGGTGTTTGAGGGTCATAGAGATGCCACGGCTCAATATGCTCCTGGCCAAAAGCTGTTAAAAAAAGTATCCAAAGGCACGTGTTGAACAATTGGGAGCGACGACAGAATGTCCCATACAGAGGATGGTGGAATCGAGACTCACACAAAAGCAAGCCATCTTCTGATAGGCCGTTATGATTTCTTCATTAGCCGGACTGCTTGGGCGCTCGGTGATAGACCCCTGATCCAATGGGGCAAGCCATTGGTCCCGGGCTGGACTGCTATCATTGCCCATCAAACCCATGAAAGGGTCCATGGGAATGTCGCCGGTACTATCAGCATCAATCACTAGGTAACTATAAGTGTTTTCAGCGGCAGCGGCGGCAGCGTCTGGTTGAGAATCCATGGGCATGATCCCGAGGTAGTCCACGTCGAGCGTCAGGCCAGCTGTAAAGAAAGAACATGCGGGACTTCCTAACGATGATCTCTCCGCGTAGCTAGAGGTCTCAGCGTCGTGCTGGGCAGATCGGCTAACCGCTCTAGTCTTTGTGTATACGCAAGGAATCTTCTTCTCCGCACATCTAGAGCATATCGGCGTCCGCCTATCGCATCGCCGCTTAGCCTGGACACAACTGTTGCAATTCTTTTGTCTCGATGCCGGCGTGCCGGTTATGGCCGTGGATTCATTCATCGCGTCTAACTAGTCCGTATCGGTGCTGTAGAGTAGAATACGTGCTTCGTGGAGGAAAAGCCGAGAGAATGCACGCGGAGATTCTGACGGTGTGGTGGTCGGAAGAGGGTTCCACAACTCCGCCAGAAAGGCCCCACTCCGGCCGCCACCCAAGTCCGCCAAACTCCGCCCACCAAACACGTCCATGAGCCGTGGAACCTGTTTTCGTTTCTAGCACATGGATTGCTGATGATGCGCTGGATCGGAGCGACATTGGCCGGGCGATGAAGATTGGAGAAAGAATCGCAGTGATGACTGAGCCGTTCGGGCGGCTACTTGGCAAAGAAGATGGCGAAGGGGCGGACACAGGTGCTCGGACGGAGATCTTTACCGTTAGTTCTATTTACTACACCCTTACGCGTGACTACGATCCGTGCAAGACGTTTAAGGTAAGGCTAGTAAGGTTTAATTATATTTATATTGGGCGAGTTACCGGGCGAGAGGAGGCGTTGAACGCTAGCGGCATTGAATATAGCCTTTTAGTATCAAGAGGCATGCGATGGAGCTTTAGTATTTTAGTATTAAATAGGCACACCCAGTTGTATTAAATCATTACACGCGATACAGCACCTCCCCGTGCACTACTACAAACCATCCATCCTCCTCCCACTCGAACGCATCCCATGCCTCTGCTATCCTCTCTAGATCCTCCTGCCCCGCAATGCCACTTTCAATCGCCTTTCCCCGAAACCCACTTCCTCTTACCCTTTCCTTCCATGTCCCGCACCAGAAAGCCTTCTCCTCAGGCGAGCTGAAGCACCACGTACTCGCCCCCACCGTAACGCCTCCTACTTCAAATCCCGCCAGCCTCGCCAATTCCTTCAGCCTGCGCCCCGTATCCGGCATCCCGCCCGTCCACTTCGCGACTTTAAGGTACGTATCACACCAGGTGTCGAGACCGGCGGAGGGCGGATACCATACGGACGCCGCAATATCCGCCTCACGCGCCCCCACAAGCCCGCCAGGCTTCGCAACCCGCCGCATCTCCTTGAGCGCTTGGACAGGGTCGCCGAGGTGCTGGAGCACCTGATGCACGTGTACGACGTCGAAACTCGCCTCTGGGAAGTCCAAGGCGTAGATATCCCCGACAGCAAAAGTGACGTTATCGAGATGGCGTTCATTAGCACATGCCCGTGCCTGTTCGAGGACGCTGTCTGTACTGTCTATACCGGTGACATGGCCTTGCGGGACGAGGGATGCGAGATCGCATGTTATTGTGCCTGGGCCGCAGCCTATGTCGAGAATTCTCATTGAAGACGTGAGATGTGGGAGCAGGTAGGCGCAGGAGTTTTCTGCTGTGCGCGCTGAGTGGGCACGGATGACAGAGGGACTGTGGCCATGAATATAGGAGGGAGCTTTGGGATCGTCTGGAGACATTGTAGAAAAATCACCATTAAGTAGAGAATAAAAGTACTATTGTTGATAATATAGAGCTTGCAAGTTGTACCACGTAGGGAGCTGCTGTTAGGATGGAGAAACCTCGGCCAGAGGTTCAGCTAGCTAGTTAGATAACTAAAACGTAGAGCTTCATCTCAGGATTGTATTATAAAGAGCACTACATTCTTATTTCAGCTAAATATACTATTTTACTAAATAGATATAGTATTATGTATATATATATATGCTAGCATCTTCTAGAGAATAGTAGCAGCTAGCTATACTACTATATTACTATTCTCTACTAACTCTACGTTTAGGCTATTTCTTTGCACTTAATCTATTCTATTAATAGTAGTTAGCATCGCATAATATCTAGCTCTTACTAGCTATTCTTTTGCCTCATACTAGCTCCGCTAGTACCGTCTTATAAAGTTGTAATAAGCATCTAGCGCCAAACGACTAAAGGGTAGATCTATTTATTGCTAAGCTCGTGCTCACATCTCTATCTTCAACACGGGGAAGAAATCCAACAGGCACTTCTCTCCTTTCGGAATAAGCAGAAAATGGTCTGTAACCTCCATATCATGTGCCCCAATATCCTTACTCAGCCTTACGTTATACCTAGATACAAGTGTCGCGAGCATGACTCTAAGTTCAAGCAACCCCATAGCCTGCCCAATGCAAGTCCGCGGTCCCTTTGTGAATGGCATATAGAGTTGCTTCATTTTCTCGGTTCCACCAACGCCATCGGCCGTGATCCAGCGGTGTGGCGAGAAGGATTCAGGGTCGGGAAAGTAGGTTGGATTTCTATGGGAGGTCCAGGAAGGCACTGAGACGACGGTCTGGAATAGAGTAAGTCGATCAGTTTGTATTGTAGGAAGACGTAGGTTTTGTTGTGTGATTGAGGCTCACCTTCTCAGGAACGAAATACCCCTCCATCATCCTCCCACCCGGTGGCGCGGTTCTCATGAGACCTGCAGGAACAGGCGAATGCTTACGCAATGTTTCCTGAATAACTGCATTCAAGAGGGGGAGATTGACAAGATCCTTATGGTCCGGTACCCCCGACATAGGTGGAAGCGGAATCTTTCTTAGTTCCTCACGAAGCTCATCTTGCAGTTCAGGATGCTGCGCTAATTCCCAGAACATGTACGTCAGGGCTATAGCGGCTGTGTCGGTGGCTGCGAAAGTAAGGTTGCTAATCTCGCCCGATATCTGTTCGTCAGTCAACCCTCCGTCACTGTCTTCCTTGCGGATAAGTTTCGTGAGAAGATCTTTCCTTTGCAGGCTACGTCCGTAACGTTGTAGGTAGTCCTGGAAAGCGTCCGCGCCATATTCGTAGATGCGGTCGTCAGCGGTAAAGAAATGCTGCAGCTTCTTGCTGGGACTCTGTCGCAACAGCCAGGTTAAGATTGGGAATCTGCCTTGGAGATCCCACACGATAAAGGCAGAATCCAAATCAGCGACATAACTAGGCGCTTCGTCGCAGTCTAGGCCGCCGAACGGCTTTCCTAAGAAGGATTCACCCGCAACATCAAAAGCAAACATGCGGAACCAATGTCTCGCATTAACAGGTCCATCCTTGCGGCGTTTCTCAATGGCCATGACTAGTTTCTGGACATGCTTGTGAATATGCGGCTCCATCTCATTGACGCTCTGCTGGGAGAAGGCATGGTTCAGCAGCTTCCTCCTCTGCCTGTGCTCGGCCGGATCCCGCATGTTGAAGACACCACCCCTCGTCATGTTCGCGTACCATGGCGCCTTACGGAATTCGGAGTGATGGGAAGCGTAGATTGTTTCGACTGCATCGATGGTGTTGAAGGAGAGTTCGTTGGGAGCGATGCAGACTACTGGGCCGTATCTTTTGTGCAAGGCGTGGACTGTCGTTGTCCGCTTGCCTGCGAGTTCGATAAACAACAGCCAGTTGCCCGTTAGTTTCGCGATAAGAGGGCCGGGAACGTGGCGGAGGGAGGAGAGGAAGACGGCGTAGAAGATCTGTGGCAGGGTTTGTCAGTCCGTATACAGAGCAATTATCGGTGTGCGATGGAGGACTGAAATCAAGGGAAGAAGGAGCCTGATAAAGATATGCTAAGGAAGGAAGACTAGCCCGCCAAGCTACATATATAATGCACAGTCCAGAGGCAGCAAGTAGATGCAGGCGGTTGTTCCAATCTGTGTACATGTTGTCGGTTCCAACGTCAGCTTAAGAGTACGTCGATAACCTCAGCTGCAAGCGGACACAAAGGAAAAACGACGAGGAGCAAAACAAAAGCCGGCATTCCAAGCATTTTGGGGACCGTGGGGCTTTCAAGACGGTTAGTGCCTTTGGAGACGGACGAGCGACCTTTCGGCTTGCAGAAGCGGGGGATAAGCCAAGCAGGCTCTGTGACAGCTGAGATAGTAAAACACCCAGAGTAACTAGTGGAGCTTTCCGGACGCCTATCACACCTATCACGCCTATCATGTCTGTCGGAACAGTTAAGGTTGACAAGCGGTGCGGCCTGGCCAGGGTCGACAGTGTTAAAATAGCTGCCCCGCAGTTCCCGTTTCCCCCCGTCCGCATCTACAGGGGCAGACAAGGGATCTCAGTGGAAGGTCAGATCCCGACATGCTGAGCGAGTAATATATGCGCTTAGGCGGCAAATATCTCTACGCCAGTTTCCATTTCTATGGTCGGGTACATAGCTGTCTTGTTTGCTCCTTCCAACCCGTCCTTGTTGTTTGTTCTTGTCCTCAAGCATAGGAGATCGTTTCGATAAACGACGGGCGATAGCGCAATCTTTCTCTAACATGAGCGCCCAGCCAGCCGACGAATCAATCCAAGAAGATGCACAATACATCGAAATCGACGACGCTGTATCCGACTCAGCATTCGGCGAAGGCACGTCAGTCCTTTCCGCCTCCATCACATCCAGCATCCAAGCCTACCGTGTCGAAAACGGTCGCCGCTACCACGCCTTCAAAGACGGGTCATATTTCTTTCCAAATGACGAGAAGGAAAACGACCGGCTTGACATGCAGCATGCACTATTCCTAAAATCTTGCAAGAATCAATTGTACCTCGCCCCGATCCGGGACAACGTCCAGCATGTTCTTGATCTCGGGACAGGGACTGGAATTTGGGCCCTCGACTTTGCAGACACTCACCCCTCCGCTGAAGTCATTGGAACTGATCTTTCGCCCATTCAACCCTCTTGGGTCCCCCCGAACTTGAAGTTCATCATCGACGATTGCGAAGACGAATGGCTATTCAAGCAGAAGTTCGATTTTATCCACGCGCGCATGATGTGCGGAAGTCTGCAAGACTGGCCACGCTTCATTGAACAGAGCTACGAAAACCTTGAGCCAGGCGGATGGCTGGAACTGCAGGACATAAACATGCCGTTTCTGAGCGATGACGGTTCGCTGACTCCCAACACAGCCTTATGGAAATGGAGCAATCATCTCCTGGAAGCAGGAAAGAAGCTGGGGAGACCCGTAAATGCGGCGGAGCAATACAAGAAATGGATGGAGGCGGCAGGTTTCGTGGATATCCACGAGGAAGTGCACAAGTGGCCGCAGAACCCGTGGGCAAAGCACCCTCGGCAGAAAGAAATTGGGCTTTGGACCATGACGGATATGCTCGAGGGATTGCATGGACTAAGCATGGGTCCGTTTACGAGGGCGTCGATCATGAACCCGGAGGAGGTTGAGGTTTTCTTGGCGGACGTGAGGAGGGATATTAAGAATCCCAAGATCAGGTCTTATTGGAGCATGTGAGTTCTTCCCTGCATCTTGTTCTTGAGTGGCATGGTTCTTAATAGATCTCCCCCACAGATACTTCGTCTACGGCAGGAAACTGGACAGTAAATAAAGACGTCCTTTTACGTTTGTCTACCGCTGCACCACGAAGTGTATAGAGAAGATCGTTGGAGGAAGCTGGGCGGGTTTCTTCTTTTGATCAGTAAAGGAAATTGTAAGGGAAGCTGTTTGAAATATCGATAGACAATGCTAGAAGATACAGTAAAAGCATAGCTCTTTTCCTAGTGGCGCTACTTCTAGATTAGACAATAGTTACCTTACGAAGTTAACGCTTGGACTGATGGCTATTACCTGTGATGGAAGATGGAAGGGCGGCGTGTAAGTTGAGCTGAGAGCGACCGGGGCGGTACCTAGCACGTCTCAACACATACGCATCCGACGTGGGACGGTGAATTGAGGAATATCTTCGTTGACATGGAGTCATGCGCACTGCTAACGGTGTCTGGCAGTCCCTATATCTATTTACAAAACCGTAGAGTAGAGATGACCATCCCCTGATTAGGGACAGCTTTTCAAGATTATCGTTAACCGAACCTCCTACATGAAGCGGGATAACTCGTCCGCTCCTCCATCCGCCTTCCGATTTTCCGGTGGAAGAATTCGAAGGCTCCGTCCACGCGGAAAACTTGAAGACATTGATCAGCATGGCCTCATAATGCTCGGTAGGGCCGCTGCCGCCGCATCGGCAACCGTGGGGTGAACCTAACTATCTCGGACCAGGGACAATTCTCAAAGATAGTCTTCGACGCCTGGGTGGATGCAGGCCTGGGTGGTTTTGCCATATTTCGTCATAACCGTACAAGAGCCGAATTCCTCTAGTGAATAGTGTCCCTACACCGAAACGGCTGCCGTGTCCTAACGAAAAGCAACATGAGTGTTCCCCAAGACATGAGATTACCGGTGTGGACGGAAGAGATGACCGTGGAAAAATTGGTATATTTTCTCCGCTGGCGCTGCACTAATCTCTGCAACAATCTCTGCTCCAAAACCTGTTCCGTTCTGACGGAAGGCATGCGTTGTAGTGCGTGAAACACCCTCGCTGCCGTTTCAGGACAGGGGCTATATCCGTGGAACGATTACAATGTGGTTCCGCTGATGCTGCGCCAAAGTCTGCTTAGCTCTGCGGACAATATCCTCCGCAGATATCAGTCATTGCAGTTCCGTGTCCATATGAGAAAGATCTCGTAAGTTGAGCCTTATCCAGAATGGGTTCGATGCCGCGTTCAAGATTGAGGCACGTAGTCTCCAGCCTTACTTCATGACACTGTCTGAGCTGCCGTTGGAGCTTGTTCGCGGTGTTGGCTTCGGACTCGGTGGATAAGCCGGTATGGTTCGACGATGCGTGAGTAACAGCCGCAGAATCATCCACCTGGTTGGGTAAGCGATGCGGATGATACAGACAGCTCAATGGGTGAGACAAGCTTATGGTCACCTATCTGGTGTGAGACGGTAGCGGACGAGGGACCGAGGAGGGTTCGCGGCGGATGTTCGTACTGCAGGCAATGATCACACACCACCCTTGAGTTCCACCTTTCATCCCCCATACATCCCTCTCGCGCCACAATCTTGCCATTGTATTTGCCGGTCTCCGTGGTGTTGCCGAGATCAACGTCTTTCCGTATGGCCGCAATCTGTTCTACCGAACAGAGTGAGACCTTCCGGTGGTACACAGACAAAACGGGATATGGCGTGCAAGGCGTGTAAATTATCGAAGGCGAGAGCATTTATGGATGGTATGGAACACATTAGCTGCGAGATATAGTGGACCGTGGACGTTGGGCATGTGTGGAAGAACTTCCGTTGGAGTGCGCCAGAAATTCTGCCGGGCTTAGCGGATAGCTTCTTGCGCAGGGCATAGAAAGTGGTCGGCTTTGGAAATGGTTTCATTAGCGGAACGGCGGCTATTGAGGCGCACGAAAACTTCTGCCGCCGTTCGAGGACGATACTCCATTCCAGTGCGTGAAAGGCTCTCGCGTTTGGAAGGGGGCGGTTTGCACGATGACCGCGGCGTGATTAACTTTTCTCGAGGTTGTGTCGGAGCCGGTATTCAGCGTGTGTTGAAGCTAGTGATCGAGACTACCCCACGCTATGTACCACCTGCTCTATGCCGCGTTGTCTAAGCGTGTGGGAGTTGGAGCTTGTTTGAGACTGTTTTCGGCCGGAGATACGATACGATAGGTTGACAAAGTTTGACACGGTTTCCTTTACCTTTTATCTGAAACTGGGCGGAAAGACTAAAGGAGGATGATGGTCGATGACTTATCGCACGAGGAGAAGTGTACGACCGATAGAGGGGCCTGTTAGCACAATTGGTTCGATAAGTACTGCAGACGTAGAGCCTTTCTCGGCAACGATGGCGTAAGAGGGGATCGCGAAGAGGTTCTGTTGTGGAGAGGCGGATATGGTAAGGCTGATCTCCGATGTGAAGGTCAGAGGCACTATAGTGGATGCAAGTCAAAACACAACTATTGAATGTCCTCCACCATCACCTGCTTCGAACCTCCCTGCCCCACCTAAGCCGGCATCCGCGGTCATTTATATCGACATCTGCCTCGGCTGAGCTGGCCGCACCTTACGGCAAGAGGGAGAGGCAACGAGCTGCAGGCCAGGAAGGCCTGCGAGACATGGGAAGTTCAGAGTCTGTGGACGGAGAATCCTATAGTATGGAGTTACAGCTCTGTGGGCGCGGCACCTTGACAGGCACACACGGCTCCGTAACAACGAAAGCCGTCAACAAGTCTGCGATGAGGAACGCGGATAACCATGTCGAAAAGCCTGAAGCTGAGAGGAAAACACGAGAGTATCTGGAAATGCTTGAGTGGACAGAGAATATCTCCTCCCACAGGCGGTGGTGCCTTGAAGTCTTTACTCGCCCCAGGTACTAAATATTCGTACTCACGCCGCAATCTGTAGGCTACTAGCCTCCAACTCCTTCAGTACCCCAACATCCCCCTCCCCCAGATCCTCCAATCCCTTAAATCCCTCCTCAACGACCCACTTCTGCCCGCCACTCCTAAACAACACCTCACACGCCTTCCCCACAACCAACAACCCCGGCGGCCGACTCCCTTCCTCCTCAACCGCCGCACACACGTACTCTAACGTCGTTCTGATAACCCTCTGATCCGGGCAGCTCGCGCGCTCCAAAACCGCACAAGGCGTTTCCTTGGGCCACTTCTTGTCTTCGCAGACCAGGCTGTCCACCAGAGCGCCGAGTCGATGCAACGCCATCAGGAACACTACCGTCCTGCTCTCCACATAAGTCGGCGGATCCGGTGCAGCGCCTTTTCGCCCCGTGCCCGTACAGATCAGGACCTGGTCCGCAACGGCACGATGGGTAGCGGGAATAGCTGCGAAGAGCGGGGCGGACAGTGCGGAGGTGATGCCGGGCAACACAGTCGGCACAAACCCCTTGCTTCTAAAGAAATCGAACTCTTCCGCGCCGCGGCCGTAGATGTAGGGATCACCCTGTTTGAGCCTCAAGACAACTTTGCCAGCACGAAGGCCCTCGAGACCAAGCTGGAGCAGCTCTTCCTGCGCCGTATCGGCGTTGCCGGGGAACTTGCGCGCGATATGGACAGTCGTGCGGCGGGGGACAAGTTCGAGAACAGCGGCAGGAACGAGCTTGTCTGCAAGAATGAGATCGGCAGAAAGAATGGCTTTGTGAGTTGCGCGTGTGAGAAGGTCTGGGTGGCCTGGTCCGGAACCCGCGAGTATGATCCTGCCCTGGCTTCGCCTTGACCTGGTATCCACTACCGCAGGGTCGAGGCCCGAGTTGTTGCTGCTGCTGCTGTACGAGCGCAGCACGGCCTCAACGTCCTCGTCTGTGATGTTCGCCAATCGCCTCAGCGGCCAGTACTCGCAGATCTGTGCCAGCCACCTCAGGCGTCTTGTCCGCGCGGCCTCGGCGTCCTCGGGTGTCACGAGCTTATTAAACGCTGCATTCTGTCCCGCGTCGTCCTCCTCGGCCTCCAGATCGGGCTCGCCCTCAAGCTCGAGTTGTGCCTTATGATCCTCCTCCCAGATGCGCCTCCTCATTGTACCGAGGCGATTAACGGCGTCACCTAGACGCGGTGGTAGGGAGGATGCGATCTCGCGCCGGATACGGGCGGAGAGTTTACATCCCTTACCGGAGGTTGTGACGCCGATCTGGAGTGGGCCGTCGGAGTGGGTAGATAGGAGGGTAAAGGTGCAGAGGGCGGGCGCGTCGGCGACATTGACGGGGATCCTGAGCCGCCTACACAGCGTCGAAATGTGTGCTGCGAGCGGCTGACGACCGGACAGTGTGACGAAGACAGCGTCAACCACGCGGTCAACATCCGGCCTTCCCAATGTCGTCAGATCGGTGTCCTGGAAGGTACGCTCGATCCGTGAGACTCTGCCCTCGTCTATACGCTTCTGCAGGCCATAGTGTATGCTGTCGGCTTCGGGAGCAATGATTATGGGCGTTGCGCCGACCTCGAGAGAGCGGGTGCAGCGGGCACCGGCGAGGGGGTTGGAGCCGATTATCAGGTGGATGTGGGAAGTGCTGTCAACTGCGGTGAGCAGAGCGGGCGTCATTACGGGCGGCGGAGGTTCGACGCGGTGTGGCGGGAGCTTAGTGTAGACTTCGCAGTAGGGACACAGCGGTGTCGACAATGAGCGATTGAATGTAAGAATTGCAGCGATGCGGGAGTGCAGATAAAGAGATAAAACTGGCAGTCTAAAGGGGTATCTACCATGCAAATCGGAACTCCTCAAACTCCAAGGACTGTACAAAGGGAAAAGCAGGAGCAAGTGAAAGATAAGAGCAGAGAATTACCAATGGCCGAGGAATTTGAAGTTTTGCCGCAGCGCGATTGCGTCTTCAGCCCTATCGATAACAACGCTCAACCGCCCAACCGGAGGAAACCGTCAGCCAAGCCCCCGGCCGGGCGCTCAAACCAGTCGACTGCCCTGCTGTTCTCCGTGGAGAAAGCCGAATGAAGCATCGACATCTTTGCAAATGCAGCGATTTCGTGCTCACACGTTGCGTGCGGTCACAGACTGATGCTTGTCGATAACCTATCACGTACCTATCTGGGAGAAGCTGCGAAGCGTCACAAATCAGTATGGTCCGTCTTTGTAGGTAGCTGGCTGGCAAGAACACTGCTGTTGGCGCTCGATCCACTGAATACTGGATTGTTGTGCGCATCAATTTGAGCTCGCTTCCATCGTCCAGCGTAGATGTGGCTTCCCGTCAAAGAGCAATGCAGCCGCACTTCCAAGGGGCGCTTCATCCCTTACTCGTCCCTTCCCATCACTACGTCCAGAGCCCGCTTTGCGAGGTGCAGCTGATGCTCGAGCGCGCTCAACTTGACCATCACCGCGATGAGGCTGGGGTCCTGGCTCTCGACGCGGACTTTGTCCTTCACCTTGACGTCCTGACCCTTGTACTGGAACGTGTCGTTCGCCTCGTCGTGTGCAGCGATCCTAGCTCCTCCCAGCGCTGCCACAAGTCCCTTTCTGATGCTAAACCCGGTAAACGACTCGCTCGTTGGCGTCGGCGATACGGGCTCCAGCGTCCGGACGGTGAGCAGGAGCGCCGAGTCGTGGATTGAGAAATGAAGATCCAGTGTGGGCGGCAGTGGTGGACTGAATATCTTTTCATCGGCCGGCTGTTCCCACCACTCCTTCTGCAGGTGGGAGTAGCCCTTCAAGGCATCCTGGGCGGAGATGATGTTGTCATGTAGAAGCTGGAGCTGACCGGAGATGTAGGATGCGTCGTTTGTGTTGCCGGCCCAGCGCGTCACATCCACAACGTCCAGGGCGGTGTTTATGGCGGTACGGGTGGTGGTCAGCTGGCCGAGTACGAGGGTAGGTGCGGTTGGAGCGGCGGAGATGCTGAGATCGTAGCTGTTGGCACCGCGCGGTGGAGGGAGGCTTTGGAGGCGGAGCTTGATGTCCTGCAATACACACGTCAGCTAGCGCTGCTGAGAATGTTCGGAGTTTACGACGCACGCCTTTGACGATGCGCGTCCCCACACGCGTAACGAAGCCTTTGAGACTCTCACTCCTGTGGGTGGAGAGCACAAGGGTAGAACCGTGCTCAGTGGGCGCCAGCAGAGCCGCACACTCTTCTAGGCCGGCTTTGAGTGATTGCAAGGTCTCTTGGAGGGAGGAGAGAAGCCATTCAAGCTCCCGCGCCTGGATTTCTGTCAGCCAGGCTTCAAGTAACGATGCCGCGTCGATAAGTCTACCTGCGAGGCTTGTTCCTCCTTGAGGAGCTGGTCCGGAGCTATTGGCGGCCAGACAGCCGTTGACATGGTTACCTCTATAGTCTGCCACGAAACTGAACCTCACCAAAGGCCGTTTCCGTCTTTGAACCTGAGCAATCGCCGCTCTAATGTTTTGGAGCTCCCGGCTAAATGGCGGGAACTTTTGCGGAGTGAATGAAAATCGCTATGACTCATTTGCTGCGCCTTTAAGGCTGAAAAATAACTACTTGATGAATGAACGTCAGTTGCTATCAACAGATCTCACCTCTAGCAGAGACCTAAACGCCATCTTAGCAGAGAGCTTGGATGATTTTCCTCCGCCGTTCACAAACTTGAACATGTCATCCGATCCTTCCTACCCAGCGCCGGAGCAGAATAATCAGCCGCAGCCATCACCTTCCCCAGAGCCCGAGGAAATTGGTTCACATGAAACAGCCCTGGAGAACCACAGCAATAGTCAGCCTCTTGAGCAGAATGGTTCGCGGGTAATGTCGATCTCATCGGCTTTCAGTGTGGCACTTGCCGTTGCCGGAATCGCTGTGGCGGTATACTACGGTTGGTCGACCTTGAAGCTTCAGCAATGGAGTGCCGCGAACGACTTTCGTGCATCATGCTTAGACGCTCAGGTAAGACTCTCGATCCGTGTGCTAGTCTGCAGGTCATATCAATAACTTTAAACAGGAAACGAATCATGTCACCAGCCCAGAATGTGAACGCGTCCTGGGTTCTCCGCCAGTACCCCCACCATCCTCTTACAACCTAGCTCGGCTTAAGAGGAGTCTATCAGAGCTTCCGCCTGCCATTGGACCTGAGTTCGCGGCTCTCCATCCCTTCATCGCTTTACTCTCGCTAGATTTCGCCTTCTTCTTGGTGTTGTTCTTGCCCACGCATCTCGCGTTGTGGATACTCGATAGGAGATCACCATATGGCCGTCTCTTATACGTCAATCATCGATCTCTCAATTACACAACTGCTGAATGGATGACTATAAGGACGATACTATTGTGCAATATGTCTGGGAACAGCGCTGCGATTGCTGCAAGCGTTATGCCAGGAACTCTAGCTGTAGTTGTCTCGCACATAATGTACAGTAGTCTCATTCCTGGACTCTGCCATGTGGCCTTGTGGCTTGGTGCCGCAGTGCTGCCTTCAGTACTCTTCGCTATACGCAGGCATCGCTGGCGGAGAAGAGCGTGGCGAGAATACACTAGCAGCAGGCCGGAACAACGAGAAGAGGTTCCAAGATGGACTGAACAAGATATCAATACCGGCTTTCTAAGCGGCGAGCAGGGCTATCTGCGAATGCGACTGAGGTTATCACGAGAAACAGGTGGTGGTGGTAGTATTAACCACCTAGAGCATATGTAGCACGCTAAGAGAGTGTCGTTATTAGAGTCTAGATATTATTCACTTTTATTCCAGGGTCTTGCGTAATTTGCGAACCACGATGGTCAACTTCGTGGCCGGTGCCGCGGGCGTGGGCGCTCTCGCAATGTTGGCGCCTGGCTATATCGTGGTTCAAGGCGGACAGTTGGTCATGTCGCGATCAAGCCAGGGTTTCGAGGCACCGTCAGGGCAGCGAATATAGTCGCGCGGAACGTCAGGAACGGGACAGAGGATGTGGGAGCGTTTGCTTATGCTACTGGCTCAAGATTACAGTGAAGCCAGTGGGCCTACTAAAGACCAACACGTCACAGAAGTTTGAGCTCATGTTCATGTCACTCGGACCGCCCCAGCTTACTTCGACTCCTGCCATGACGGAAGCGGTCGGACATGGTCCGCAGGTTTCACTCAACATGAGCTTACCTTCGCCAGCAATCCTGAACATTTTGCAGCATCTATCGCTTCAGATCTCAATCAACACAGATGCGAGACCAGTCGACAATGCGCCGCCGCTTATAGTTCGTTCGCTGAAGATCATTATTCGGGCGAGGACAGGCATATCTTTAAGATACGGCGCAGCAGCTTGGATAGAAACGCATCAACTGCTTGACCTCTCGGGCTTGAGTATTCCTGTCGAAGGTCGTGAACGTACTCAAACGCTGAGCTCCGAGTTATGGAAAGACTCATTCATTCCTGACATACCGCCCTCGTTCAGGACATCCATCCTGCAGCACAAGAATTCACTCTTCCTCAAGGTTGGGTACTCGTGGGGTAACGTTGATGATGTCCACGTGAGAATGCTCTCTTTGAGGCTCTGGACGACACTGACGCTGACTCAGACCATGGAGACTTCGGCTGATGCGGATGTACGTCCGGATGGATATCTTCTGCCAAACTGGGCGCTTGGAGCACGGAGGAGGAGCTCCGTGGGTATACTTGGAGAGCGTAGAAGGAGTTCGGTGGGTATATTTATGTAAGCTCGCGGCACGTGCTGGAAAGACCGTCATATTTGTCATCCACAAGGTAGACCGGACCGAAATTGATGAAGGCAATGTGGCAAGCTTTTGTTTAATAGGTTTTCTGCAGGAGTTGATGTTACAGCGACTCGGAGAACAACAAAACTCGAGATCGGATGAACAGATACTTTCGGATAGAGACCGAGGGCAAGGTCCAAGTCGCTCCTGTATCATTTAGCCCTTCGCGGACGTTGTTGTGGACGTCGTCGTCTCTACGAGCTAAGCGAACTACCTTATGATAATAGTACCTCGCTCTGTTGACTACCCCTTTCTATGTTGCTTCCCGCGATAATTTGCCTTCTTTACGTTTGGTTACTGCCGTGAGTCTTTAATCATGGAGAATCTTTAACTGGTTCCCGTCGCGATGTGCTTTCCAGCAGATTGTCACTTGATCGGAGACGCAGGGCTTCCGCCTCTTGAGCTTATTAAGGTCAAGATGCTCCGTCCGATCGTCGCGTACAGAGACAGCGGTGACATTGTAACGGCCTGCGAGACATCTTGAAGCAAGATCCTTACATGCCGGAGTAAGGTCTTCTTCTTCGAGTTGAGGCAACATGTGACAAAGTCTTCAACCTGAAGCAATCCTTGTTGTTGAAGCGTGTCGGATTGAGGTCTTCGTCTTGGAGAGCACGCGGCCGGAATACACCTTGGTGAACGGGGAGGCTGCTCTGGAAAGTGAGAGCTGCCGGTTTGTGGCGTAGCCGAAGCGATCGAGATATGTACAATGGTATCGGACAAAGCTGATAGCGCTGGCTCTACAGAATTCTTGTCACACGTTTGGACTGGAGAGGCTGTCTGCGTCTGGAGAAGGAAGCAAGGATAGAAGCATGATTTCACAAGTATCACAACAATTCTCTATGAGACTGATGACAATACCATATCGACTGATGCACATTAAGGAGAGACTTGAATCATGTTACATAACTAGAAGACCAAATCACCTTCGGTTCAGCTGTTACATTCGTCCTGTGCTCGTTATCTTCGTAAGGCCCTCCGAGTAAGCGAGAATAAGAGCCTCCGCATGCATGATTTCAGGTTCCTGGCTTTATCGGCGAAGAGCTAAGCTCGGAGATGACACGGTGCGGATAGACGTCGAGCTTGCATGTAATTGTCAGCGTGGTGGTGCAGCCGAGAGCAACCCGACAGATGAGAGCTACGTTGGGTAGCTACCGTGCAAGTCCAGTAGGCATTGTCGCCTCCTGGCCATGAGCTGAACGACCGTAACGCAATCGGGTGACCTGTCCGCGACTGCGAGGATCGTACCCGTGGCTACGGTATGTAACCGAAGGCCTGCGATGAAGCATGGTGTTTGTCCGTACCGCGAAGGTTTATAAGGCAACTCTGAAGCTGTTCTCCGACCGCTATACGAAGAACCTAGACAGTGGCTGGGAGGAGACGCCAAAAGTCCGTGTTCCGATAATCAACTTCAGTCAAGTGAGTCTTCTAATAGGAAACCGCAGCCTACCGAGCTAAGAGAACCTAACATTAGTTCGTCAGGCTCCTACAATCAACCACGTCTTTCTCGAGTGGCTAATGCCCAATACCACCTACAAAACTCCGTATCTTGACGCTCCGGGGACCCTGAACACTGAACCAGCTGCTACTAGCAGCGTTAGCTACCAGTCGGATGTCCCTGCAATGCAAAATGATAGCGATACCGAAGAATTGCATTTCGAGTATACTTTCGCTCAAGAAACGTACGTGATCGGGTATCCTAAACCTACACTCTACATCTCCTGCCCCGATCACGACGATATGGATGTCTATGTTTAACTTCGGAAGGTTGGCAAGACTGGAAAGATTCTGTAGTACCTGAACATTCCTAGGCAGGAGCTAGGCATCCCAGACGACAAAGTCCCTGACGAAGTCCCGCTGAAATATCTAGGACCGACGGGTATGCTCCGAGCTAGTATGTGTGCGCTCGACCAGGGGCTCAGTAAACCATACCGTCCGGTCCAGGCCTATACACGTCAACAGCTTGTTCCTAATGGCGAGACCATCAAGGTCAAGGTTCCACTGTGGCCGGTGGCCTTTGGCTTTCACAAAGGGAGGAATTCGTCATGAAGGTATCCGGTCACTGTATGGCTCTGGTCGATTCCGAGATCTTACGAGGGTCGTTCACCTCAGGCAATAAGGCTAAGCATACCGCGTACGTGAGCGCAAAGCACGGAGGTAATCTTGAGATTCCGATAGTGACTTTATGCCGAGATACGGAGGCGCAGACGATGCTTCTACAGGGTGAACGTGAAGGCGTTGATCGGTAGGGTGGCCAATTGAAAACATAAAACTTGATGTCCACCCTTGAGCGGCTGAGAAAAAATACTTTACTAGAGTTTCGTCTTAGAGAATACCTGCGTGTTCGTTGACATGATCTCGTATGGACATCCTCCAAGAAGGTGAAGATCTTACCATTGGAATCACAGTGCGGTCATAGTGACATCGATTGGATACATACAGCTTGTTTTTCTAAAGTATGAAAGTCAAGAACAGCTGCTAGTAATGCTGGATAATCCAGGGGCGGAACAATACAGCTGCAGCTATTGACTACAGCTTCGCTCTCACTGGCTGCACCTTCTCCGGGTAGATGCAGACATCGACGCCCTTGGTGTCCTTGAGCAACCTCCGTAGTATCTTCCCAGAGGGCGTCTTCGGTATCTGAAGTACAAACACCACATTGCCTCGAAGCCTGCACTGCCCCGTTAGTATCCAGATCGAAGACCGGCTCATGCACACATACCACTTGTAATGCGCCGTCCTGCCCTCGACCCACTTCCTCACCTCACCACCCAGCCGTTTCAATTCAGGCGAGGCCTCTGTCTCCCCCAGCACATGCTGCGTAAGCAGCGTCGTATCAGTCGGGACGACATAGGCGCGCGGCAGCTCCGTCGCCTGCGCGGCGTCGAAGACAGAAATGACGCCGGCGTCGGCAACGAGGGGGGACGCGCAGAGCACGGCTTCCAGCTCCGACGGCGAGACCTGGAATCCCTTGACCTTGATGACCTCTTTGAGGCGGTCGGTGATCCAAAGGAAGCCGCTATCGTCGATCTTGCCGACGTCGCCCGTCCGCAGCCAGCCATCCTGCGTGAACGCCTCGGCCGTCGCGGCGCCGTTGTTGAGATAGCCGCTCATGACGCTGGGCGAGCGGACCAGGATCTCGCCCTCCCGGCCCCGCTTCAGCACAGCGCCGGCCCCGTCGGAGTCGGACGGCACGATCTTGATCTCGACGCCGTAGAGCGGCACGCCGGTGCTGCCGAGCTGCGGCTGGAGCTCCTCCCACGTGTCGCCCACCTGGTGGCACAGTGACGGCGCTTCGGACATGCCGTACCCCAGCTTGACCGGAAAGCCGAGCCTCTTGTGCACCGTCTCGATGACCTCGCTGCCCAGCGGCGCGCCCCCGCTGACCCCGCCCCTCACGCTGCTCACATCGAAATCATCCAGCATCGGGCTCTTCGCAAGCAGCACCGCAACGGGCGGCGCCATGTGCAGAAACGTGACTCTGTGTCTCTGCACATAGCCCAGCAGCGTGCGCGGCTCGAACTTGGGCATGACGAGCGCCGTCCCGCCGCAGCACGCGGCCAGCAGCAGCACGTTTGTGAGGCCGAAGACGTGGAAGAAGGGCACGAAGGCGAGCCAGCGCTCGTCGCCATCAAAGCCTGTGCTGATATGCCACAGCGCGGCAAGCGAGGTTGTTAGGGCTGCGTGCGATAGCTGCACGCCTTTGGATTTGCCGGATGTGCCGGAGGACCAAATGATGACGGCGGTGCGGGCGAGGCATTCGGAGGGAGTGAAGGGGATGGGGGATTTGAGGGGCGGGGAGGAGAGAAGGGCTTTCCAGTCTCGGGCTCCTGGAGGAGGGGGACCTGGCGTGTGCGAAGCTGTGCCGTAGGGGTCGCTTGTGGGGTCGACGGTGAAGATGCGGTCATCACGAAGAAGGGTCTGCCTTACAACATTATCTGACAGTTCCTCGATGGCCCTCCGGAGAGTTTTCCAGCCGTCGAGAGTGGTCACGATGGCCTGCGGCTTCGCGTTCTGCAAGATCCAGGCCAGCTCGCTTGCGGTGAGCGCCGGGTTTGCCATGGTTGCTGTCAGACCTGCTGCAAAGACGCCATACAGTAGAGGAGGGAATGGCAGCGAATTTGGCAGGTGGATAAGAACTACCGGTGAGACTACAGGCGGAGGGTTTGCTGAGCTGGATGACGACAGAGATAGTGCTGTGCTTGGTTGCAGCCCAAGCGCGTGCAAGCCTGCCGCGACTCGAAGAGCATCTTGCTGGGCCTGCTGCCAGCTGAGCTGTGCACCTACAGTTCATGGCAATGAGCGATCCGATCGTGCCACGGTGGCTCAGAAACGATACGAACCTGTGACAGGATCTACGAATATCGGCTTATGAGGTGGTATCCTTGGAATGTGATGGGCTTTACTCCGGGGCGTAGGAGCGTGCTCGATGACTTGGCTACCCGACTGAAATGGATTGGAAAAGATCCAGTCGCAAACATTCGATGAAGGGATACGGCCCGGAGGACTACCAGCAATCGCAAGGTCGGTCATGTAGAGTATTGATGAGCACGATATATGCTAGTAACGATATAAGATTACAAGCAGGGCAGGCTTGGATGAACGGAGGACGCCTTTTGAGCCTTTTGTTACAGCGAGCCTGTGAAGAGGACGGAGGGTCCTTGACGGAAAACTGAAAAGAAAGAAAACGATGCCTATCTCTGTTGGAGTTCTGGAATTCTAGACACAAGTTGGATGCTCCGTGGTTTCCCCCGGGTTGTGGTTTGCACGGGACGCGGGGAACAGCAGTCGAGACGGAGCTCCGAACAATCAAAAGCCGGTTCCAGCATCCGATGGCTACCGCTGCAACCTTGGGGTCCCTGGGTATTGTATGAAGACTGATTAGTTCAAGCCTTTGTTGTAGCCACTGGGAACTATTGGGGGAAGGACTCCGTCGTGCAGAAGCCACCTGCAGAGTAGCCACCGGCTGCTGGAAGGGCGTGTAGCGACCATGCCGACCTAACTTCCGCACCGAGGCACGCTGGCTGCTTGTTCATTTCCCGGAACGTCCCAACCCTCCAGCATGTTGCCAAGGGCGTTGAGCATGCAGGTGCTTGAGGGATGCTCCGGCTTCGGGGTAGGATTATGTTTGGGAAGGCCACAGAGCATCTCAGCCTGAACAACAGGCCGTTCGACTTTGCTCGAGCACCTCCTGCACGACACAATGACCGAACGCGTGAAACAGCTCGTAAGTATCTCTCAGACCCCCGTGTTCTCAACAGCAAGTATACACTAAGTCAAGCTCGCAGCTTGGCCATCTCTCGAACCGCGCCAGCGCCGTCGACCGCCTCAGCACCAAGAACCCCGACGATGTAGTCGTAACCATGGCCTTTCGCACGCCGCTGTGCAAAGCGCGCAAAGGCGGCTTCAAAGCCATGGGCTCCGACGAGCTGCTGCTGGCCACCTTTAAGGCCGCGCGGGCGCGCATGGGCTTGCTCGACCCGGCCGTCATCCAGGACATCACCGTCGGCACCGTTCTCACGCCCGAGGCCCCGTATGCTGCTCGGGCTGCCGCGCTCACGGCGGGATTCCCGGAGACTGCCGCTGTCCAGGTCATCAATAGATTCTGCTCGAGCGGGTTGATGGCTATTAGTACCGTGGCGAATGCGATCCGCAATCAGGAGATTGACTGCGGGTTGGCGGTTGGGTATGAGAATATGAGCGCCAAGTACGTTTTTCATACCGCAGACGTTTGCCTTGGTGACTCTGGTGACTGAACACGCATCACAGTCCCGACAAAGGGACTCAGGGCTTTTCCGAGGAGATCATGGCATGCCCAGCTGCTGCCGACTGCAAGATGGTGCGATTTATCCTACCCCGCTCCTGGAGTGAAATATGGCAAGCGCCTGACAGAGCACAGCCCATGGGTTGGACATCCGAGAACGTAGCCAAAGAGTTCAACATCACCCGCGAAGCCATGGACCTCTACGCCGCGCGCTCGCATACGCGCGCCGAGCGGGCCCGCGCAACCGGCCTCTTTAAAGAGGAGATGTAAGCCTTCCCTTTTCTCTCTCCCCTGCACCCGCACACACCCTGACGGCGTGCCTCGCGCAGCGAGCCTATTGAAGCCTGGACACGCCCTGCCGACCCAGACTCATCCTCCCCCCGCACAAAAGTCACCGTCTCCGAAGACGACGGCATCCGCACAAACACAACCCCCGCCGGCCTCGCCAAGATCCGCTCCGCCTTCCCGCAGTGGCCGCCGGCGCAGACGACGGGCGGCAACGCGTCGCAGATCACCGACGGCGGCGCGGCGGTGCTGCTAATGACGCGACGGAAGGCGGAGGAGCTCGGGCTCGTGGTGCTAGCCAAGCACGTGGCGACGAGTGTGACCGGGCTGGCGCCTAGGATCATGGGGATCGGGCCTGCACTGGCGATTCCGAGGTTGATGGAGAGGACGGGGCTGGGGATTGGGGAGGTAGATCTGTTCGAGATGTAAGCGGTAATCTGGATCCGGATTGACTGAGCGCGTCATAAGGACGAGGCGGGGTGACGCTGACGATTCGAGGAACAGCAACGAGGCGTTCGCGTCGATGTACGTCTACTGCATCGAGAAGCTCGGGTTGGACCCGGAGAAGGTTAATGTGAATGGTGGTGCTATCGCTCTCGGTCGTACGTCTCCTCTTCCCTTGGCTGTCATAACCCTACTTGACGTTCTCTTACCTAACTCGTGTCCTTTCTCTGCTGGCGAGAAGATCCGCTTGGATGTACCGGCACTAGGCAAGTCGCTACCGGCATCGCAGAGGCCCGGAGGAGGGGAAGCAAGACCCTCGTTACCTCGATGTAAGCTCCGTGCCTGTTCTCACTCCGTTTCTGCGGGGATCAGATTCAGTTGACATTTTGTTGCAGGTGCATAGGGCTCGGCATGGGAGCGGCTGCGCTGTGGATAGTGGAGTAGGATTTTCAGGGTGGTGAAGTGCATACGTTGTGACGAGCCAGAAGGGTAGGTCGCAGGGCGCTGCTTGCCTCTTATCATAGCGACTGAGTCTGGGTTATGTTTTAGTCAGTCTGGTACAGTCGACGCGTCATAAAATATAGCCCTTGGACATTTGGCGCCGTCATTGATAGGTTGGGTGACATGCCCGCCGCATCGTTAGGATTACGAGCCAGGCCCAGTCGACAAAGTCAAGCGCCTCCACGTTCTCACGTTTGTGGTGAGCGACGTTTATATTAAACGCTTCAGAGCCTTGGTGATTCTAGTGACCGAATCTACTAAGGCTTTCATTACGAGTTCGCCGTGTGCGTGCAGATGCTCAGGCAGGAGAAGGCGCGGCACGCGGAGACGAAGGCGGCGCTGGCGGCGGCGCTGCAAACTCGGGACCGGTATGTGCGGTAATGCGGTCGGCTGGCCGACCAGCTGGCGCGGAGGTGTTGAGGAAGCGGAAGCTGGACACAGCCACGAGAGTGAGATGGTAGCCATGGTGAGAGAGGAGAATTCAGCTAGGTCGGGCGACGGTGGGCGAGGAGAGCTACTGCTTATTTCGTCTTTCTCTTCTGGCGGGTCTTTTGGGGCATTTTCGCGTTGCGTCACGGTGGAGATCCGCGGATCCCAGAAGCACGGAGGACAATTGTGCTACGATGGATTTCGGCAGGACTGGAGTTTGCTATGCGCAAGGCGTGCGGAGCAACACGCTGAGAGAGCAGAATGCATCTACGAGCAGAATGCATCTACGAGCAGAGTGCATCTACGAGCAGCAGACGACGTTGCAGATCGAAGGGTCTCCATACCAAGATTGCGCCAAGCCGCAGCTACACATCTCCACAGAGCCTCAGGTCCGGAGTCCGGAGCGCCAGCACGCCAGCCTTGCAGGGTGCATACAGCAGCTCTGAGGTAACACATCCCAAGTAATACGACACAAATGCACGACACCATGCAGGAGGCTGCAAATTGCCTAGGGCTAACTATTCAATTGCTCCCACGTCCTTAACGACTTTACGCGGGTAACTAATCGCCTACAGAGTCGTAGCTCCAATAGCCTCCCTTACCCGAAAACAGCTTCGCGCTAAGGTGCTCGCATTGCGATATTGTAAGTGATCTAACACGGTTCTCGTTGTACTCTTTACTTATAGAACTTTCATTCCTCTTACCTCTTAACTAACTAATAGTTCTATTCCAATTTCGTTCTAGCCCGCTTGCGACCTAATGAAAGCTCGCCGATGCAACTGAACCGAATCCTACTTACGTTCCCGACACGCATGTCGTGGTCCTCCTACAATTATAACAGAGGGGCAGCAGCGATCGCTATTGTCTCTTTCGGCATCCAAGTCTGCAACGGCCTGCTCACCAACTACGATGGGTGGAAAGCGTACGACGCCGACATTCACAGCGCGCACGACGCCGTCGCTCGACGACGGCATTTCCCTGGTTCAACAAGGAACATCCGAGATCCAGTTCAGCTTCAATGGCCAACGCCTGTCGATGACCGGTACATACGCCTACGCTGCTGGCATCAATATCGAGAGCGTCGTCGTGCTCGGACAGAAATCTGCGCCTACGAGTGTCAATTATAATGGCCAGAGCTTGCAGGTCCAATATGATGGTAACGCGCAGACGGCGACTATCAACTGCAGTATCCCATTGACTGGTGATGCGACCGTGACTTTTGGCGGAGTTGCTGAGTATCCTGGCACCGTGTCTAGGCAGGGTCCGGCTGGAAAATTGTCAGCGTTTGTGCTTAACGATTTTGCTATGAGCTATCTCTTCATGTAAACGCCAGTCTAGGGCTGAGTGTGCGTAGCAAGCGGTTCTCTGAGATGTCCATTATTTTGAAGATGTAGTAGTGATCTATGCAATCCCCTTGCAACTCAGCATGGGTACTATCTGCACCTGCAGGACCCATCAATCCATTTGTTCGCACCTTTCCGATAGACCTTCTGAAGTACATACTACTCATGTCTTCTGTCAACCAAGTCGAGGACGACTTCTGACTCAACACGCGCTACGCAGTCTAAAGCCCTACTGCCTGTGTCACTGAGCTCCCACTGCTCATTCGTGAAAGCTTGTACACGGGCGACAGTGATAATTGCCCTATCGTACCTCAAGGCTGTTCCCGCCAAGCACTTGTCAGATCTTCTGGTGCACCCCTGACCACCACATCACCAAGTCGTCGACTGGCCTTTCGTCAATCGAGTCATCTGTCATCAGACCATTTTCTACAGCATACTGAGCAATTCGATCCAATGACAGGCCATCGAACCATGGTCTGCAACCATTCACGGAAGAAAGATGACTGATCGCCTCTTCTGTCGAGCCCATCGTTCCACTGACACCGACACAACAGAAGAATATACCACAATACTCATCACGAATCTTCCCTCCTCCAGCTCCGAACTTCTCCACATCTGCGTCGATACGCACTGCAAATTTCGCCCTCGTTGTGGGAGCGGCCAGTTGCACGTCTGTAATATCTTGATACATACCCTCGCATTTCAGCTCGATGATCGTGCATATGCCGTGGGGAGACGTGACGACCAGATCCGCAGCTTCGAGTGGAGCATTGAAGACGTGTTGCTCCCGTTCAACAGTGTAGCCATGTCCTTCGAGACACAGAGCCAACTCGACTTGGAACCAGCCTTCCCAGCCACCCTTCATGTAGAAGGCTGAATGGATTTCGCGGCGTTTCCTTTGGAGTAGTGCAAAGATGATAGCGGGGATGGATGAATCGATTATGCCATAGGGAGTATCGGTCTGTTCGTTCTGAATCTTTTGAATCCACATCGGCAGGGCGGCTTTGAGGACATCTTCACGGATCGTGATAGGCGGGAAGGGTTGAAACGTATCAGTAGGTCCGATTTGATCCATTGTGTTGCACTGCTGTGTCGTGAAGAGCGTCCGTCTCTGATTTTCGGTCAAATGGCTCTTTGTTCAGCCTACCAGGCAACATACCATAAGTCTTGAGGCGGCCCGAGATAATCCCGTTCCGCTACCTATTTTTGTATGAGAACTCGAGCTGTTCCCTATATTTCACAACATTACAAGTTTATATTTAGAAATGAAGCTATTCGGCGTGCATATTTATTAGATTTAGTACTACGTAGTAAGCCCGTCTGCATCTGATACTGCGTGAATTCTATCCTCTATCTGCAATACAAGCTTGTTAATCTCTTCCTGCATGATTTTATACTATTCAAGCTGAATTGCCTCTATTAATTCCTCCTTACTACAGCAGCAATGAAGCCTAACGCGTTGTTTTAGTACACTATACAGCCTTAATAATAGAGAGATTAGAGGAGTAAGAGTAATTCTTATAGTAGCAGATATTATACTTCTACTTGAACTCCGCAACTTGATTCCTTGTAGATCGATTACTATAAGCTGAATTGCTATCTTCTTTAAGAATAAACAGCCCTACTAGCTAGCTGTCTTTAGGTCTCCTTTTACTCTTATAATAGAGACTATAGCGTGTAGCTTTAGCGTTATTAAGCGCTAGTAGATAGACTTTCTCAAGAATATCTATATATATTTCTATTATCGAATTACTAGCGCTCTCTTCATTCTAGTAGAGGTAAAGATCTATCTTGAAGTTCTAGCTAATAGTAGTCTAGTAGTAAAGTATTATAGAGTTAGTTTAACTCTTATACTAGATACAATCTAGTTTATAGCGCTTATTGTATATTCTAGTAATCTAATAATAGTTCTCTTAGTCTACCGCGAAGTGTATTTCATCTAAGAAGTAGACTAAATACTACTTTATTCTCTAGCTAATATAATTTATTATAAACTCTTAATAGTTAGCTACTATCTTATACTTTAAATAGTAATTCTAGTATACTTTATAGTAGATATAGCTATAATTATAAAGCTACTAGTAGAGAGTTTTCTAATAGACTAGTAGGTAGAGCTTAATAATAATCTTATTAAATTAAAGAGTGTAGTAGTTAAAGTAATCTATAATTTAGTTAACTATATACTATATCTCTTTATTAGATAATATTCTTCTTTTACCTAAGTAATTAATATTACCTATTTAATATAATATCTTATCTTTTAATTATCTCTATACTATTACTCTCTTAATATCTATTCTCTTATATTCTATTATTATTGTTGCAATTAGGGATAGAGAGTAAAGTAAGCGAATTGCAGGTATAATATATAGTAAAATTTTAGAATAAAGTAAAGTAAATTACGCTTTAAAGTTAGAACTTAAATATTTCTTATAATTATAGTATAGTATTAGTATAAAGTAAATAGAGTTAGTATAGGTTTATTATATAGTACTAAGAGTGGAATAGAAAAACCTAAAATAGACTTAATAGTATTAAAGTAAGGCTACTCTAGTAAATTCCTTAGAGATATACTTTTATTTAAACTAGAATACTATATTACTAGATTAACTCTAAGACTATATAGATTTTAAGCTATTATATATTATACACTACTCTCTCTATATAAGTACTTCTTTATCTTTTATCTATCTAGAATTATATACCTTATACTCTTATAGAGTAGTTCTCTTTAGCTAGTATTTATATTATACTGTACCTATGAGTTCGAGAATCGGGTGCCGATTTCCATACAAAATCACCCCTGCACGGAACTTGCCGTTTCAGAATGGGACCCCATTCTAAAAGACGCTGAAATCTAAAAAGGCGACCACACGTGATAAAATCACGTGCTACTAAAAAAGCTAGATTTATAGAGCTTTTAATTTTAAGCGGTAACATATATAATGGAATTTCCTAAGTAGGCCTCCCTAAGGTTTTAGGGGGGTTTAAAAGTGAGGAGTAGAGAGTTTAGGGGGATTATTAAGGTAAATAGGATAGATATCGAAAAAGTAAGCGGCGTTAAGCGGAGAAAGCGGCCTAAAGACATAGAGTCATATATAATAGATTTCAGATAGGAGAAAGTCAAGTCAAAAAAGGAAGCCAGGCGCCGGTGTACTGTGTAACCCTAGGGTTCGCGTAAGCGTGCACGGGCCGCCCTAACATTACTAGTAAGTGAGATGAGGCCTATCTCACTTACTAGGGTTAGGGTCTGCCTCAGGAAAATCACAACCTAAAGCCTCATCTCATTTTTTAACATTTAGGCCTCATCTCACTTTTAACGCAACGTCGCATCCACTTTAGATTCAGTTATCTTTCGCTTTATACTAATCTACATTAACGCACCCACTTTTAATAGCCGCGCGATAAGTATAAGGTTGTGAAAGTTACAGTAATAAAGTTGGGGTACGGAGGTTCGGGCGTAATGCGAAGACGGTAGGTACCGCACTATAGCGCTTAGACTACGTAAGCCCTTTATTATAGTAGAAAGCACACTATTAGGCGGTTATCGCTTTTTAAAGCGTAATACTACCTCGTTTATCCGCACTAAGTAATGCTAAATAAGTATAATAGAGTGATGAGACAGGGTCGGGTTAATAGGCATAGGGGCATCTTGGGGAAGCCTTTAATAGAGGACCCTTAACACTACCCTAGTAACTCTTAACTATCTAATATATAATTTATACCGCTACTATCTTCCGGTAGATACTCTAGTAGACGAGATAGCTGCGAACTAGGCACCTTCTATAGCTCCTCCTTGTCAACTACCTCCAGGACCAGCCGATCCGGTGGAGCCTAGCGCCTAGCTAAAGCATCTACCACCGTCCTTGTAATCTACGCGCTAAACACTATAGCGCGATTATTATGCGCCTTAATTAGATCTAACTAGACCTTAAACCGACCTATAGGCATCCGTTTAAGCGAAGAGTAGGATACCTTAGAGCTTAGAATCAGCGTGAAGATGCCCACTCTATACCTCGTACGGACCTCCCACTAGCGGCAGCCCCTCTCTAAGCGCTTATTAAAATTCGTCTATAGCTTATTAGAGGATGAATAGCTACCTAAATCAGAGGCCTTAGCATCTAAGTAGAGCGCCTAAAAGAGATAATGCTTCGCCGCTATAGTATTACCCACCCTAACGCCTCTTAAGCGTACTTCTTTTAATCTATTGCCACCACTAGCTAATAACCGCACCGCATCCTAATACCGGTCCTAGAGGGAGGCCAGCTAATACCGGTATATTATATCGTAGAGAATACCCGCTACTTCGGTAGCTCTAATAGCCCTAAACGCCCTAATAAACTCCGTCGTAATATTGTTAATAGTTATTAGGGTTTACACTATATAGGAGCTCGGGGGGGTCTAATACTTAGTACTTAGAGTGCCTACATCTCGCTAATGCATTAGCAGCTTCCTCTAGTCCTTAAAGGCCTTCGGGCCAGCTACCGCCTAAGCCTTACAAACTAAGTCCTAGACGGCCTAAAAGCCTATACCGCAGCAGCTAGGTTATTTCCCCAGCTAGGCCAGAATCAGCGCATTAGAATGCCGAAAGACAGTATTAATATCCGAGACATCCTCATTAAAGCCGATAAATGCTGTAGAGAGCTCCTCTACTATCTTCTTCTAGCGCTCGCGCTCCTTACAACAATTATTATTTATGACCTTTAAGACAGCCTTCTCCCTCTCCTCTATAATAGGATCCCGCGGCGTGCTAGGCTCGGCTTTAGAAGAAGGAGTAGATTGGGGTTTATCTTAAGTATCGGGACTAGCGTCTACACGGGCTCGTTTAGGTAGCCGTATAGGCTTAGAGTCTTTATCTAAGTCGTCTATAGCATAGCGCTTAGTAGTAGCACTCGCGGCCGTCTAGCCGGACATAGGAGGCTTATTAACACTATCATCCTCACTAGAGGCGGAGGAAAGAGGGTGAGTTCTAATTAGAGTGTCGCCGCTACTGCTTATATTACCTAGTATGCTACGAAGCTTCTCTAGCGTGGGTAGAAGGTCCGGCGTATAGTTCCGTGCGAGCTAGTCTAGAGTATTAAGTGGAAAGGCGGTAATAAACAGTCTAGAGTCCTAATTAGACTCGTCGCATACCTAGAGTGGAGGTCTACCTATCGACGCAGGCAGCTAGAGTAAACGTTCAAAAGTTGATGAGGGATACTTAATAGAGGCGATATCTGCTCGAAGAAAAGACACCGCCATTATTTATGGAGTGTATACGCGCGCGTGAAGGCTAAAGGATAATTCTAACACGGAATATTAAACGTGTTGCTTCGCGTTAAGGCGGTAGGGAAGGAAGAGCCGGGAAAACCTTAGATAGTAGAAGCCGGAGAGCCTATTTCCGCGTATATAGGGGCAGGAAATCAACAAGATACTTGCCTATCCTAAAACGCGACAGCGACAGAACTAGTAGGGCCACTATTATTATCCTATTAACCCAATCTAGGGGCCCTTTATAGAAGCCTTTAACCAGGCTCCTATTATTACCCCCTTACCGTTATAGACTATATCATGCACCTAGCTAACCTTAGCCTTATTGCTTATATTAGAGCCATATATGGGCACGCGGTATAGCTGGGTAGCATTCAATCATACTACCTAGGAAAGCACCACTAATTTAATAAAGAGGAGGCTAATAAAGTGCATAACTATATATAGGGAATACCGCATCTCGCGTAAACTATTAACGAGGTCTAGATTCTAAGCGTTCTCCCCTAGCGTATACTAAAGATCCCTCTCTACATAAATGGCCTCCGCTATTAGGTCGACCCTAGTTGCGCCTACATTAGTCGAAGTGTTAATACGATGCGCCGACACGTCCTATATACACATAAATTCAAGAGGTACTAACGCTTTAGGCGACCTACTAGCATTAAGCATCTAACATCAAAACAAATACACTAGCCGTGGCGCCCTATCTACTATTAGAGACTCTTTATTACTAGGGCCCTCTTATGCTTTATCGAGGTCGCCGAAGCGGATAAAGGGTAATAATAGTAGGATGCGCGTTAGATAAAGAGCAAAGAGACTGTATAG